TGAAAAAATTTTTTCATAATATTGCTTTTTCAATAGATAATTTTTCAGCATTAAAAGTACTTTATTTAGAAAAAAAAAAATTTATTTTAAATTCATCAAAAATCCATAAAATTAATTGTGCCTATGCAATATACAGAGCTAATATGTTTCGTTAAATTTTCAAGTAGTTCAACGATTAAATTTTTTAAAATAATAAATGGATGAACAAAAAATTTTCAAGACCTTCACTGTCAATCGTTTACACATACATAATATATTTCATGCGTTTCGAAAAGTTCAACGTCCAGCCCTCTCTCTCTCTCTCTATGCATATATGTATATATGTGGACTCTTTTTTATCGGTTCTCGATCAACTGTGTTGTACATAGATTAAGCAAAAGCACACAAAGAAAAATGAAATAAGCAAAAATTTTTTAATTTCAAAGCGGTACATTGGCAAGATCAAAGAGCCCAGTAGTGATGATTACTCAGGTATACCTGCTCGCACATATGATACCTAAATAGTTAAATGTTTCAATGCACGAGGTACAAACCGGGTATGGTTTAAAACGCCGGCGATCGGAGTTTAGGCAGCGTGGAAAATTTATTATGTATTTTGCGTCGAGTTCCGTTCTGTCTAAAAATCATAAGGCGTTTTTGAAAAATTAACCATTACCGCTACGCAGTGCGTCAAAATGATTATAATAAGTTTTTGATGAAATTATTATAAGTAGTTTTTGATTTTGCAAAATAGATGGAAAGGCTTGTTTTGATTTTTCATCGAACGCAAGATGTTGACGTCGCAGTATTCCGATAAAACGAAAAAAAAATAAATAAAAATAAGAAGAAATAACTTTAAAAATGGGTTTAATAAACGAATTTGCTGAGTTTGCGAAAAAAAACAACTATTTATCTTCTGTACAATAAAAAATTCGGTTAACAATGCAGCATTGCAGAGTAACGGTAACGACACAAATATCAGTTAATAGACGTTTTAGAAAATAGACAGAGTATGCATACCGATAAGTATTACGTATAATTTTATTGCAATTTGAAACTATACGAAAAATGACAGAAACGCGAATTACACAATACTTATGTAGAGAGAGAGAGAGAGCTTATATGCATACTGTTAGTTAATCCAACGCGGGTACGCGAAGATTATATTATGGGTATTCGGTATAATATAATATACAATACTATCTCGATAATCTTTGAAAAATGTAAGTTGCAGCCGATGTAAAAAATATACCAAAAGAGTAGCTATAAACCTAAGTGAAATTCCAGTTACAAGTGCCTTGTTAATTATATAAGTACTGGTACATTTACTAAAAAAAAAAAGAAAAAAAGTCACTGGTGATGAAGAGAAGAAAAGAAAAAAAAAAAAAAAAAAAAAAAAAAAAAAAAAAAAAAAAAAAAAAAAAAGTAAACGCTAACAATTACCGTATCGTAAATGAGTCTGCTCTAAAAAACCAAGGCACGATATTAAGCTCATTGAGATAAAGAAAAAAAAAAATAAAGAGAGAAAGAAAAACAACGCGTACAAATTATACATGGAGGAGCTTTAAAAAATGTATGTAATAAAGTTTAAATTTCTTGATTTTTGTTCGATGGCAATAATAAAAATAATAAGAATAATAAGAGCCCAGAAAGTATGTGTAATCTCGACGATGTCAATTACTTTTCGTGAACATTTTTAAATCCCACCGTACACACGTACACCTACACCTATAACATCGTGGTTCAAGCCACGTGCTCGTCAGAATGGAGTGCAATAAAATTTGTCAGCCGTGCCTCTATAAGAGAGAAACGCTACTCTCAACAATGGGTTTTACTGCATGCGTGTGTGTGTGTGTGTGTAGAAACGAATGATGGTGACCCACCGATTTCTCCATCTATCTGCCGACGTGCTCCAAAACTCTGGCCCGGGAACACGCTGCCGTCCTCGAGCACCAGGTAACAAGAACGATTGCCCTCCTCTCTAGCCGGACTCATTGTCCTGCTCCAAAATTAAATGCAAAAAAATTGTTCCTTTTTTTTTTTTTTTTTTTTTTTTAAATTATACTATATAAAGGAGCTCCTCCTCCGAAACACGTTTGTCCGGTGTTAATAATTCTTTAACGTGCGTCGATACGTACATGTGCGAACACACGAGTTGGAAAGCGCGCGCGCCTGTCTACGATAATTGTAATGATAATAATAATAATAATAATAATAATGATAACTGTACGTGCATATGTATATATTATAGGTACGCGAGAGACACGAGCGATACTTGGCGCGTTTCACCCAATACTATATTATATGTGTTCCGTGGTACAAACTACTTATGACTATAAAGGAGCATATACGGCATGTAGAATTGAACTAGCCGCCTGGGAGACGTTGAGAGCATAGGATGATGGCTCGAGCCGGCGTAGCGCACGTCTTCAAGCTCCGTCTTTTTCTCGCCTCCTCGGAAAGTGTATCTGGCTCTTTTCCCTTTCCGCCCTTGATTTATCATCATCTCTCGTTCCTCCCCCCTGTATATCCACATTCTAGTTTCTCCTACTCTCTCTCTCTCTTTCTCTGTGCACTCCAAGCGTCATTTCTTATTCCCACCTCTTCCTCTCGTCCTCTCTCCTGGAAATCGGCGCCTGCGCTCCGAAATCGCGGGTGTCGCGGATATGCGCGTGCACGAGAGGAGGAGCATTTATTTAATACTTTTTTTGTTTTTTTTTTTTTGTTTTTTTTTTTTTGTTTAAACCTTACGGATCGTGGCGCGTTGTTTGAATAATTTCCATCGTTTCATCGAGAAATCGAGATCTCTTTTTTTCGATAAATTGCAATCGTCATTGTCGTCATCGGTATGGTGTATGTTTTAATGTAATTTGTTTTTGGACTTACAAGCAGTGGCACGTACCGAGAGTACTGTTATTCACTGCGGCACAAAAAAAAACAACCAATTACGTCAATAAATTAATGCGCAACAAAGGAAATAGTGGTATACGAGTTTTGAAAAATAATACAGTACTCGATGGTAAACCGTGACAATAAACACGCGTAATTCATGAAAAAACTATAATTAATGGCTCGGTACGAGTGAAAAGATTCACTCATATGTTTAAATACGCTAGCGGGATCGTACCTATACGTGAAACACTAACCTTTCACCATATATTGCGTGCTTGAGCGTATTGCCCTTGAAAGAAAAATCGATATCGCGTTACGCACATTGATCGCGTACATACGTACGTGTACACGCGATATAACACACGCAAAACATAAATCTGTGCGCTGTGAGAGAGAGAGTAAGTTGACAGACTCGCGATCTCCCTTTCAGTTTACTCCACTTGGTTGTAGGCATCGGTTCGTTTTTACGTTGCGTTGGAGCATGAGGTAAGGGAAAAGGTGCCGAAACAAGTGAGAAGAACAATCGAATAATGCCCATACCGATCGCCTATCTCACCAGAAAAGAGTCGATTTCTTCCTGCCACAGACTCCACAGGTGGGTGTGTTATTATTTAGATTTTTTTTTTTTCTCTTCAATTACTCGCTCTGACCAATCATTGTAACAAGTTTTTTTTTTTTTTTTTTTTTCCACCGATTGTACTTTACGTAACAAACCTGTTGAAAAAGAAACACTTGTTGATTACCTTTTAATATCGCCGTTCCTTTATGGCATTTTTTTTCTTCTTTTTTTAATTAAAAATTCTTACCAATGTTATTGCTACTGTTGTTGTTGAACAGTAACTACAAAATTTTTTATTTTTCTTTACTTTCAGTACACAACTTAGCGATGAGGATAACAAAATCATTTACGGAAAGTGCAATAATTTTTGGGGCCACGGGCACAACTATACTGGTGATTTTTCGTTTTATTTATGGAAAATAAAATAAATTGTTACGCTTTTTAAACTTTTTTAAATCATAGAACAAAAAAAAAACATGATTATTGAATTTTAGAGATGAAAATATAATTTATAATTCAAGTGATTTGTTTTCCGGCAGTTGAAGTAACAGTTCGAGGTCCCGTCGATCCAAAAACAGGAATGGTCATGAATATTTCGGACTTGAAGGTTTACATGAAGAAAGTTCTCATGGACCAGCTCGACCACAAAAACTTGGACAAAGATGTTCCGTATTTTAAAAATGTTGTATCCACTACAGAAAATGTTGCCATATATATTTTCGACGAAATTAAAAAACTGCTGCCAAAACCTGAATTACTGTATGAAATCAAGATTTATGAAACGGATAATAACATCGTCATTTACAAAGGAGAGAAACAATAATTTTTTAAGTATGATCATTTAAAAAAAACTTGTTCTTTTTTTTTTTTTTATTTTACAAAACTCTTAACCGATTAATCAAAATAACTATAGCGATAAGAATTTATAGTATAATATAGAGTAAAACTTTGTGTCTAAAAGTTTTTCGAAATATTTATGGAGACTTGCGTCACATTAAAAAATTACTATAAAACTATTTTCAAACTGCATTTGTCTCATTTATTAAAATGGCTAATTCTGAGGGTAATAAATTATTGCACAAATAAAATATGGTATACTCGTATTGTACGAGCAAAATAATCATGCGAGTTCTATTTGAACTTATAAAATGTTTTGTGAAAAAAATTAGCTATAATGTTACTAAAATTGTGAAACAAGAAAAAATTTTTGTAAAAACAGTTTTTTTTTATAATTGCCTCTTTATTAATTTTTTTTTCCATAAAATAACACATTAAACACAAGAAACACATACTAAAAATATTTACGGCATAAATTTTGAATGAATGATAAATATTATCTAAAATTAAAAAAACACACCTCTAAAATACAGAATCGGCCTGTACATACCCTTGTTACAGCACAAACTAATACAACAAAATTCAATAACTTATATAAAGAATTATAGAAAACGAATTTTGTCAAACCGACAACGCGATTATAATAATTGTGATTATTTAATGCATCAACTATTGGTTACATCGTGAATTACGATTATCCTCTAATCAATTTTTCTTAACTATCGTCCATCTGGACTTCTCTTTTTATTGGCTGTGTTTAAACTTTACACTTCCTTAAAAATCTCTATTTTTATATTTATCGACAAATATTACGTTATACATTGAGCACAGCTTATGTACTGTTATATGAAATAAGTTAACTGCTTCTAATTTGACATAGTGTACAAGTATTAATTAGATTAATACATTTGGTATCTAAGTTTAAAATTTTTTTTCTCTTTTATGCAGTCATTCATTTTCTGCTATTATTGTATTATGTATAAATAATATACTCGCAAGTAATTACCGTATGATCTTCCAGATTAATGTACTTACGTTTCTTTTGTCTCTTTGATACATAATTGAAAATCTATTCAGTCTCGGTTTTGCAATCCTCTATTAATACTTTTTAGAATATTAATTAATCTTCAGCCTTCCTATTATTATGATTATTAATAACTATAGTATTATTGAGTTGAAATTAAAAAACAAAGTTATATGTTTGTGTTTGTGTCGACTTTGATGTAACATTTTAATGTAACATAGGGAATACCAAGCTCAAAGTCATCTCTTGGCCAATATTTGAGCACTGGAGATTGCTGGGGCCTCTCCTCTTTAACCGAAAAGTAAGCAAATAAAACGGCAGCTGTATAACTAGCGATAAAAATAAAGAGGTGCCACAAAGCATGAAGGTAGGGAAAATTCAAGTTTAGCCAAGTATCGCAAAATAATCTATCATTCAGCCAGCATGTGACTGCAAGAAGCCAAACTGCTCCACAGCGAAGTCCCAATCTATACACTCTTCCAGACGTTGTTCTGCAAAAAAAATTATACTTTGTGAAAACTGGCTCTTAAAGACCACAATGTTCTGTAGAAAAAACTATTTTTAGGTATTAATAATTTTTAGCAAGCCAGGTACTATTGAATAAATTAAAATCTAAGCAATCATTTTTGTACAAAAATGTAATTTATTCACTATATTAGTCATTACATACGAAGACGTACCTCTTCAGCTCAAGAATCATAAACCAGATGGCTGGTATTCCAAGGGTCATCAATGCAAATGCATTTACAGCTGGATGAAATGTGGCCAATACAGTAGCCAATAGAGTTGGTAGTATCACAAAAAGAGAAAATCTTTTCCGATTATTTTTAGCTACAGTAGGAAAATACCTTCTCGGTAAAAACAGACAAAAACCTGCCATATAAACCCACAAAATGGTTAATTCATCTAGAAGTTGTCCTAGAAACAGTATTATATTAACTCATCTTGACGCCATTAATATTAATTAACATCATGTAAATTGATTATCGATTGATTCTTACCAACTAATGAGAGAGTAGCATGAAAATATGCACTACTAGCACCAACAAGCATCAACAGAAACCATATTAGATGTATTCCAGGATTTACAAATCTACCATAGTCTCTAAATAGGTGCATCAATACTGGTGGAAGTAGAAGAAATACAACGTTGCTTAGCTGAATAAGGTAAAATTCCTTTATTACCTCGAAATCAGTTATTCTAATTATATAAAATATGCATTTATATGTTTTATGTTTTTATTGTCAAATTGCATTATTACATGATACAGTTTTACTTATGCAAAAGTATGCAGTACATAATACTGCCTCGTTATTGTCTCTTATGACTATTTTAAATAATAAAAATAAGAATTATGATTTGTTGTAAAATATATAGTTTACTAAACAAACTGTTGTTGTAAAAAAATTAGGTGAATAAAAAACTTATTTGCCTTTTTTTTCATCACAGAAAAGGTACACTTTAAAAAGACGTTTAATAACTCCCTTTAATAGTTGGCTAAAAATAGACAAAAATCAATAAACCTTTAGCGTTTTGTTGAAAAAAATGAAATTACACCTGTTTAAAAAAGGACAAAATTAAAAGGCAGTGTTCAAAATAATACCTATGTACATAATAGTACCTCTAGAAAAAACGATCTAAGCAGAAATCGAAAAAAACCAAATGATAACCGATATTACAAGTATAATGTATTTAAGTACAGGTACTCACGGTATTCATGAACTCAGCAATGCTGGGCGAAATGCTGTAATTGCCTTCACACCAATCAACGGGGGAGCTGCCCGGCTCAAAGGGCTTCCACATATTTGCCTTTGTTACAATATCACTCCTTGACTCCTTTGTTACTGTTGCCGCGCTTGGGGATTCAATGATCCCCAGCAACAACAACTGCAGTAATTGAAGCACAAAAGTAGCACTTAATAAAGTCTCCAATAAGTAGTGTAGACAAATTCGATATCTTCTAAAAAAGTAAGTGTTTATTGCGATGTTTTCAGATATTTATGTATATTAAAATTTGCTCTTTCATATTAACTTGAATCTAAGAAATCTGTTTTATGTGCCATAATGTAAAAAACATTGTGTAACTGATACATTTTTTTTTATATGTATACTGTACATGAAGCTTCGAATTAAAAAATGATACTTTAATGCAGATAAAATCAAAGAATTACAATTTTTATTGTTATTTTGTATTTCACAGGTGCATGAGTAATATCATGTACGTTATAGCTATATGCATCAAGCAGCTGTCAATTTATGAACTCGATAACACGACATGATTACATGCATGCAACTTAACCACTGCATCAATTTCAATCAAACAATAATATTTTTGTATTCTTTTTTATTAGGTATGAATTTTTTTTAATCTAACGTTTTATTCGGAGGTTATGTCACTTTGGAACAGATTTATTAACGATATGAAAGAGCTATTTTTTGTCTCCACGTCTACTTATCTAAAAATATTGCTATGAAAACTTATTATTTAAACTATCGAAATTTCGAGCTAATTTGTTTAAGCTTTAAGTATATAAGTACCTAAATCACGTCACTTTGCACAAGGTATCGAATTTTATTGACAGTTTTTCTCTTTTGCCTAATGATCTGTCGTCCTATCAAGTTCAGCTCATCAAGTTAGGCACTCTTAAGTTTTAGCAAGTCATCAACTTAGCAGTTTTTATACATCAATGCTAAACATACGATATACTTTGGTATATATACTACGCAAATTGAACGACGACTTGACAATGTAACTGACAACTGTATGCATATAAGAAAGTTAGCTAAAAACAAAACCACGAACTGAAAACAAAGCGAATAAGTATCATTTCTTTCTCAGCTCTGCTCAGCTGTCAGTATGTCTGCTATACCCAATTATATTATATAGTATATACACATGTATACATGTATGGGGGAATGCGGGGGTGTATTTGGCAGCTGATGTGCTTAAGTAAATTTTAATTAAAGGCTGTGCAACTGTCTCTGTCTAACCAATAACCAACAACCCTTCCTCCACATATGTGCAAGAGAGACAAACAATCCACACACGGCTGCCTCTCATTTCATATTGTCAGTGCCATCTAGCGTTGTGATTTTCGGAATCTATTCATCTAGGGGAAATCGTCTTGAGAAAAAATCCCTAGATTTTAGTGCTATATTTTTCGGCCTAGGGTCTTTCACAAGAAAGAAATATCACTGTATAGAAATAGACAGCGCCATCTATCGTTGTGATTTACGGAATCTATACATCTAGGGGAAATCATCTTCAGAAAAAAACCCTAGATTTTAGTGCTATATATAGTCCATCTAGGGTTTTCCGCCAGATGGAAATCACTGCAGGCCGGAATAGTACTGATCGGTACTGATCTAGAGGTACGGGTCCTGCTGTACCGACGGTTAACTGACTTACCGGTCAAAGGTATCCTCCCCATGCATTGTTGACCGTCGGTACGCCAGGGTTCTCTCAATCCAACGCCACCTAACGTTGCAATTTTGGAATTACTCCAAAAACATATATATAATATGTATAATAACTGTAGTTATAACTATATATATATTGCAAATACCTGCGCAACGAATTAGCCAACCATCGGTACGGCAGGGCGCGCTTTTCTAGATCAGTACCGACAGTGCGATCTCTGTATAGTGATTTCTATCTAGCGGAAAACCCTAGGTCGAATATATATAGCACTAAAATCTAGGGTTTTTTTCAAGACGATTTTAGAATCCATCCGCAGTTCGCACGCATACAAAAACACACACATCGCTGCTTGGCTGGATATCCCTAATTTCCCAATTAAGTCCCGAATTCGCGAAAATGACGGAGCCAATCTGTGACTTTCGCGGACACTTTAGTCACACTCATACACACACACTCCATACAAAGGTTTTTCACCATAGTTGCTTTAACGACGTCAAGTTGGTCAGCCTTATCAATCAAACCAATCGGCATTCAGCTTAGCCGTTTGAATTTCAAAAACACCATTACAGCCGAGTGCAGTGCAGCAGTAGTACATGAACATGAAGGACGGGTGAAAGAGAGAGGGCCATTGACGGTTACTTCTCTTCAAATCGCCTCTCCAAAAGCATGATAAACGTGCTTCGCTTTAGCTTCACCTGCAAGAGTGTCCTATCATTTTTTGGTGCGGCAGTTTAATCAACGTGCTAAAATAAGTATGTATATTTAAAAACAAAGAATTCGAGTGCTGTTGACTTTAGATTGCTTCGTTGTGTTGCCGTAATTTAGTACTGCAATCCATTCTGGGCTCGCATGCAGGGTAACCACTTGTATGCTCAGTGACCGGTAAGTTTGCAACATCTTATTCGAGATGTAGGTACTAAATTATTAATAAGTATCAGTGAATTCTTTTAACTTGCCTCTATAGTAGTATATCTTTTCGCGGTTTGTGAAATTATACGCACGCATACGTGCAGTTATGGTACCCCATTGTGTTGATTTGCTAATTTTGATAGTTGTGCAATTAAAAAATGATTTTATTAATCACTTGAGCCTATCGGGTAAATGGTGACTGCTTACCTATCTAACAAAACCATCGATTTTCTCATTTTCTTTTTATTGATAATTTATGTGACAGTTTCTGAGATTTGTTGAAATAATACTTGTCTGTGCATACAAAGTGTACCTATTATAGAGTGCTAAAAATTTTTTCTACTAATTATAAAAGTATTACCTTTAGTATATGCAAACTATTAATTTTACATCCTGTAATTACATAAAAAAAAAAAAAAATTATTATTTCGTATTTTCATTTCAGATTATGCTGATTATTTAGCCACCAAAGCTGAACTGGAAGGAAATAACCGCAATAGCCTAGCCAATATTTATATAAAATTCCTGTTAGATCTATTGAATTTTTCCTAAATAATTAAAAGCACCATGGATAACCTTGATGCACCACAATGGGCAGATTTTATTGCTCCAAGTCCACAGGTGACTCAGGATGACTTTTTTTTACGCCAGCATGAAGCACACGAGTACAGATGTAAATCTGACTTGGCAGATTTCGATCAATCACCAAATCATTCTGTAAAATCTAACTTGAGCAAGCATGCGCTGAATGAATCTTGTGTCAACGATACAATATTTGAAAAGACTCCAAAGCCAGTAAAAAGTAATAAGGGTAGAACTTCCAGCTGCAGGAAGAGTAGAGTCAAAGAGGTAACACATGAGGATGCATTGACCGAGGCTATGAAAAACTTGCAACTGTCCATGCAAAAGTATAAAGGTGATAAGTCTATGAACAAGTCGTGCCTCATGGATTCACCTACTACGTTTAAAACACCACAAAGAGTGACAAGATCCATGTGTGCATCGATGAACACGCCCAAACATGACTTGGATGAGTCTCACTATGTTTCATTTGAGCAGGACAAGTTGGAGGACGAGCATGATCATGACGGTATTGACAAAAATGAGGAAAATGTACATACTAAGGGCTGTAATCATGTTGAGGTAAATATTCGACTGGATGATGAATGTGAGCCCATTGACGAAAAAGAGAGAAAAACATTGGAGCAAGATCAAGATAGCTCAACAAATGAGCAGACATCTCAAATAAAACTTGAAGTTTCCGAAACTAGCTTGGAGCCAGATACTTCTGATGAAAAAGTGGAACCGGAACCAGAACCAGAAATCAAAGTAGATGATGCAGTCCAGGATAATCAAAGCAAGCACCTTCCAAAAAGCAAAATTGTCACGTCCTTTGATCCGTTCCCTGCCTCTAAAAGTAATGATTCAAAGAAAAAAATTGCAACATTAACTGGTAATGCATGGCACAGACAAGTTAAACGTCATGTAAGTCTCACGAATCAACGGCGGCTGAGCATGAGCAAAAATTTAGCCACAAGTAAGTACGTGAGCATGGCTGAAGCCGTTACCAAGTTTCAGCGAACAACGCCGCAACGATTCCACTCTGTAAATGTAAAAAGCACAAAAGCCGAGTTATTAAAAAAGCAATCGCTAAAATTGACGAGAGCAACGTCACCGGCTTTGATGTGCAAAAAGAGGACCAGACCTGTGACAGCAATGAGCAGAGAAGAACGAGAGAAATTAGAGTTAGAGAAAATTCGTCAGAATCAGATTAAAGCCAATCCAGTTCGTAAGGATATCTTAAAAAAGCCAGCTCCTCTGAAAAAAGTGGAAAAGAAGTTGGTCACTTATCCAGAGCCTTTCCATTTGACTCAGACTAGGAAAGATCAGCCTCCAGATTTTAAACTAAATCAGACTCAAGAATTCAAGAGAGCTCGTAGAGTACCGGCAAAAACGGTTCCAACTATCGTCTCTACTAAGGAAAAAAGCGTTGTAATTAAGGTAAATAATTTCGTAATTTTTATCTTTCTTATGTTATAGCGCTTGTATTTTTCTGTAAAAATATTTAAATATTACGAAACAACTACTATATGTATGTATGTATATATAGTTTTTTTTTTATGTGTATTTATTTACGTTATCAATAATTTTTTTTAAACTGTTTGTAGGAAGAGGAAGTGTTATACTTTGGTATTCCATTAGACCCAGTCAACATGAAAAAAAAGACCACAAAAATAATGCCATTTAGCTTTGAAGCGCGCAATCGGGAATTGCAAGCAAAAAAGAAAGAGAAGTTGCAAAAGCTCAAAGAGTCGGAGCAACAGAAAAACAAATCCGAATTTCACGCCCGTCCTGTACCAACGGCAGTCAAAACCCCATGCAGAAATCTATCGGCTCCAAAAGCTGCATCAGCAAATAAAGCCAAAAAAATAACCATCGCCCGTACGTTGAGCTTTGATGATAGAAATAGGGAGATGCAAAAGAAAAAAGAGGAAAGAATAAAACAGATGATGGAAGAAGAAAAAAAACTCCGAACTTTTAAGGCTCAGAAAGTTCCAGAATTTAAGCCTGTATTGGTAAGAGGAAGATCTAAAGATAGTTTGCATAAAAAATCGAATGAAAACTTGGTAACAAAGCCTCAGAATGAAATTTATAAATCAAAAGTAGATAACGTGCCGAAGAAAGAGAATTTTACGACTGTACTGACAAATAACATACCGGTAACGAAAAAAACCTACGCAAATTCGATGAAAAATCTTATCAAGAAGACGATTCCATTCGTAGCACCTAAGAAAGTGAGTCCATCATCAACTGCCACTGAAAATCAAGAAAATAAAAATAATGGCCCAGTTCCAAAGATTTTGGAGCCCAAATGTAAGCTTTCTCAAAAATCCGTTTCTGTTTTAACAGAACTCAACACAGACAAACGAGCTAAACAGCGAAAAGATTTCGAGGAGCAGATGAAAAAAAAAGAAGCCGAAGAAGCTGAACTTAAAAAGGAAGAGGAACGAGAAAAATTAGAAAGAGAAAAAGCTGAGAACATTGAATTGAGAAAAAAAATGGAAGTCAAAGCTAGACCGATGCCCGTTTTCAAGCCACCAAGCATTATAAAATCAAATAAACCATTGACAGAAGCTCAAAGTCCACATTGGGCTAAACCAAAAGCAAGTTCATCGATCGATTGACAATGAGAGGTTTTTCTCAAATTTAAAAAAAAATTATTTTACTAACTTGCTCATTAAGTAAGATACTTTTATGTTATTTAACGTATTATGTGTTGGTAATATAACGTTGTTTTCAAAGCTCCATTTTTTAATTCGTTTCTAAAATATAATTAACTATAAAAAAATACAGGCCGTGACGCCAGGATTCTCTTAACAGTCAATGTAGTGACTCTCTATTCTTGGCGAGTAAAGTACATAAGATACAGAATCTTACACAACAGGCCCAAGACCCAGTTTTACGATTTAGAAATATATAGTAGCTTACCAGTGCAACACATGTATCTCTAATTAATTAAGAATTGATAATTGCATTTTTGGTTATGTAGATATTTAAAAATATACTATAGAAATATGTCAACATTGTTTAAATTAATCTGAAAAATCTTTGAGGAATTGCCAAACTACTAAAACAGTATTTAAATAACCAAAGAAAGCACCTTATTATAGTATAAAATTAATATAAAACTTTACAGTGATAGATATCTTAGTAATATGTTTGTTTCGACAGGAAAGTTTATATGGAATAACTATTCGTTAATTTATTGGCAAATTAAAGAAAAAACGTGGTCCGTATAATTATAGAAGAGTGACATTNAGAAAAAAAATTGTCGCCCATAGCAAAAAAACCGTAATCCAATTATTTTTTTACTTTGTCTTTCTGAAAAATTATTAAATAGAAGAAAATTCTATGAAATAGTCTCGCCCGCATTATTTTTAGTTATTGTAGGCCGCTCTATAGGCCGTAGTTTATAAGCCAACTCGCTAAGCGTATTGCAGCGTGATACAAAAAAACGTACGTTTTGACTAATCGAGGGGCTGCTTTAGCCAAATATCAACTAAAATACATACTGGTATGCTTGAAAAATTAGACCACAGTATGCAAAATTTACCAGGTGAATGAATTTATCTGGTGTAAATACTTTGAACTCGTATTTGATAACTATCATATAGGTACTATACACTTCTCTTTTTAAATAATCTTAACTATTTCCACCTTTTATCAAAAATTCTTCATAACTAATATCTCAGTCACTTTCAACGATGATTGACGTGAAAATCTTAAAAATGCAAACGACAAAAACGGTATAAAGTCTTGATTTTTTTTTGTGTATAAATTCTAAAAACACGCAGTCAGGGGTATTTCGTGAATAAATATAATTATATAAAGAGATTTGTAAAATGCCACTAGCTGAACCATTAGAAATAGGGAACGAAGAAAAACGAGAATTCAGACTGGTAAAATTGAGTTAGCGGTTAGCCTTTGATAAAGTAGTAATTCGCCTTACTTTTGCGCGTGGACACGAGAACACGATGACGCGCTTTTTTAACATTTGTTTTTTTTTCTTTCGTATTTACACGCCATTTATTAATTGTAGTTTATACTCGGCGAACGAGTATACAAAACTATCAAAGTTCTTTAAAAAGTGCTGATTTTGCATTTTTCAGTTTGTCCAAACGTCGTTGCAGATGTGAATTCGCTGTTTCTAATTCTTCAACACGACCCTGCGATTCCCGAACCTATAAAATATTTCAAAATATTTTTTGCAGAAACAGTAAGATAGCTTATTTTCAGACATTCATTAGTGTCTCACCTCTCTTTGTAATTTTCTTTTTTCAACTTTCAATTCATCTTCAGCCTTTTCAGAAGCCTCGGCTGCAGATTTGTAACGTATTACTTGACTTTCCAATCTAGCAACAGTCGCTTGAAGAGTCGACATATCTTGCTCTGTCTTTTGTAATTTGAACTTGTAATCCGCCAACAACTTATTAGCTTCTCTCTGAGCGTCTTCTGAATCTGAAAAATCATGATAGAATTATACCAATGTGTATACTACAGAACAACGGATTACAACAAGCAATTTATTACCAAGCATAGAACCCAAAGATCGCTCTGGCCTCATACGATTCCTTGCCTCTTCCAGTTCTAGCCTAAGATGCCCAATTTCATCCTGTAGTTCTTTTTTTTCTGATGCAAACTTTCTCAGCCGAACATCTGTATAGAAGTGCATGACATAATTTTTGATTTCATAAAAACCTTTTTTACAGCAATAGCAACAAAGCTTACAGACCTAAAGAACCTTCACCAGCGTTCTGTAATAACTCTGCAGCTTCTGTACTGACTAGCACTCTTTTTTTGCAAACAGGTCCGTTCAACTTCGGCGTTTCTTCATTTTCACTACCCTCATCTTCCACTATGACCAATCCATTTTCTTGTATAAGCGTGTCCCTTTCTAAAAGTTGCGCCCTACAAATATCTAAATCCTCTTTCAGTCTCTGACTAAGACGCTTTGCTTGATCTGCTTCGCGATTCTTTTCCCTGAGTTCGCGACGTAGCTGGGCAATAACTTCCTCTAATTCTTCTAGTTTATCTTTTAACAAGTCTACTTGGTATGCATAGGAAGACTTTTCATTATCTAATTGAGCATTTGCTATCATTGCTTTCCTAAATTTTTCTTCACATTCCTTGAGTTCCAACTGAAACATAAAAATATTGTTTTAAAAAACCACACACAACATATTTTACAATCTTACAGTATAACTTAAAAAAATATCATAATATAAATATATACCCTCAGGTCCCTGCCAAGACCTGCATCTTCTAAAGAATCCTCAGAAGATCTTCTACTTGACTGAAAATTGTTGGCATTTGCAAGTAGTCTAGAGGCACGTAAAGGGTCTGGTGTAACCCTCATTGCTCTGTTTGCATCTGCTATAATAAAAAAGCAATATTCTTTATTTCATTTGTAAGACAATCATTTTAAAAATTATTAATTANCACTTGATAAAAAATATATTTTATATTTGCTTTAAAATTATAATTTATACTTTCAAATCAATGATAAAAGTTTTTAATTACCTGTACACATATCAAAAACTCTATCTGCATTCTCTTCAGCTTCTTTCTGCTGCCGTTCCAATTCCCTCATTCGTATTTCTCTAGCTTCTGCTCTAGCTTGCCTTCGTGCAGCCAGTCTTGCCTCTGCCTGCAATCATGCAAAACAGTCTAGTAATTTAGCGATAAAACTTAATGTATAGATACTATAACACAGAAAAAAATTACAAAATCTAGTGCTTATTATATTAAATAAAATAAAAGAAACAAAAAAAAAAACAACCCTTGATACAACTAAGATCAGAATACGAACATTATGACGAGATTAAAAGCAGTACCTCTTTAGCAATCTGATCAAGTGCTTGATCTTCAGCTGAATGCCTAGTAGCAGTGCGTCGCCTTCCTGCTACTGATGTCTCCATTGTGAGGCAATTTAATACGTACTGCTAATCTTAATTTTTTTTCTCCTCCTCCACCCCCACTCTAATCAACAACTACAAGACAAGCTTGTTTTTCTCATGAAGAAAAAGAATACACCTCAGTTTTGTCACACCATTGCAGAATGATAAGCTAGAGAAGGACAAACACAAACATAAAATGATGAAAGCTAAACCAATAGATTACCCAAATCAACAAATATAAGTGATGCACGCAGGTGTATGAATATGGAAAGAAGAATGGGTAGTGAGTGGAATATGACATAACAAAGCAGTTTAAATATATGATGCTAATAAAGCCTTGAATACATATTAGCACACAAAAAACAAGTTTAATTTAATACTTTAAAAGAACAGGTGATATTAAGTATATAAGTAGTACTTATTAAGTACAGAGAAAATAACGAAATTGGGTAACGTGTGGAAGAGAAAGAGAAAAATTTGAGTACTCAATTAAATAAATTACGGTACTTTTGGTAAAAGAGAGAGCGAGAAATAGGTATGAGAGATAGCTGCAAAATTAGGAAAAAGGTAAAAAGTACATGACAGATGAGTATAGGCTGCTGACCATTAGCGACCAAATAAAAAAAAAGTGAATCACACACCAACGCACGGGTTAGCGTGTCAAGCTTCTGTCGTCTAATTGGTAAGTTTAGAAAAAAAAAAAGTTGAGAAAATCAAGGGTAATTAATATTAAAACACGATGAGAAATTGACAAATAAAATAGAGCTGGCGAGAAAAATTTTAATCTGATCGTTTCCACCTGTATATATACAGTAATATTTGCGATTATTGCATGAAAAAAAAAAAAAAAAAAAAAATTAGAGAGATCATTGTAGCAGACTACGCGTGTCTCTATACATATATATGTACGCATATATATTTTAAGAGTCGAGCTACTCGATCGAATTTCGAATTAAGTAAATACATATTTTGTTGACTCCAAAATGCATGATAAGGCGTATTACAGAGAAATCGTGTGAAAGACTAATGACTTGGGGGGGGGGGAGATAGGTAAAGGGTTTCAGGGGTAATATAAAATATACGCGAGGTGAAGAAAAACACACACATAGTATAGGTAAGTATTAGGTACATGTCTATACGCATAAAAAAATGTATGTATACGAATAGAACTAAAGAAGGAGTAAAGTTGTACACGCACAAGGGAATAATTTAATATAAGCGCATACTCACGAGGACAAGGTTATAAGGTGCCGTCGTCTACTCGTGTAGCGCCTCTTGCTCCAGCAGTTGAATTGAGTGGGTTGCGCGCGGGCGACCCGTAGGTAGGTAATTTTTCCTCTCTTCCTCCTCCTCTTCTGCTCCTTCACCACCACCTTCTAGTATATCTTCTTCCTCCTTCACCTCGCCGCCGCTGCACACCTATTTCATTTCCCTGTTCTCATACAGCAGCTATAACCGGTGACGACGACGACATGGACCATGGTTCGATTTGATTCCGAAACCAAGGTCTAGAGTCGAGAGTAATAAGTACTTCATACACCCATGTAACTAATGGGATGCTCACAAATTTTTTTTCTCAAGAATTCCAATTGGCTTGGCAGACGCCAGACACCGCGTTCAGTGTTTTTTTTTTTTTTTTTTTCTTTTTTTTTACCTCTCAGACTCCAAACTCCGATTTGTCGCAAGCTGTCGCGCACGCACAATTATTTATAAAACACAACACACGCAACAACACAGGGAACGATCAAACTCACAAGCGTGAACAAGGCGTACCTGTCGCCTGTCGCATGTCTGCTGTCTGGCTATAACAACGCTATAACTGGCGGCTCGACTGACTGTCCTGTCGCTACAAAATATACTTATATTATACCTATATGAGATTACATATATATACACTATAATATATAGGTATGGAAAAAGTTTATATAGGTACAGTGCGTAGTAACAATTAATATAAACTTGGTACATACATTATCTCTTTTCTTCAAGACGACAATGTCTTTTTCTTTTTCATGAAAAACTACAATAATAATATTATCGTCTTCGTTTACGTTGCATCGCGTACTTACTTTAATGTTATAACACTTTTTTTCTTTCTAAGTGATATGTTTTTTCAGCGCTTTTTCTATTAAAAAATAAGCCCTCAAGACCTAACTACTTAAATATGTATGTAGAATATAGAATATTGGTGGTATGTATATCCTCGACCCTATAATCAAAGTGATCAAATTAAATCGGAATCAAAGGATAACTTATACGGAAGTTGGAAAATTTTCTCGTAAATTTTGTTTTGATTTTAACATTTTATACACTATCGTCAAATCAAATGTAAGTAAAATAAATATTGCGACCGTCTTTACCAAAAGATGGTTAAAAAGATGATGACGTTAAAAAATTTTTTAAATTCTTGTTAAGCAAAATACAAATAAACAATAGGTACTTTATCAACCGTAATCCAATATAATTAAGTTATGATTACATTCTAATTATAAATTAATTAAAAAATAGAAAAGTTAGGTTTTGCGTCGATGATCCTAGGAAGGGTATTATCCATCCGGTTTACTCCAAAAGTTACTATAGGTGTATATATATACCACTGTAATCAGAATCAAAACAGTCCGAACTAACAAATATATATATATGTAAATCTCTATCTGTAGCCGTACCATCCGTGGTCTATTATAGATCAAACGAACTTACCTGTAAGTGAAGTTCGATCGTAATTATACGAACTAATGAAGTATAGTTACAAAATCATTCGTTTACTCAATGGTCACACACGCAGAGTGAGTAAAATGCGTATCTGTCGTCTTGATCTCATGAATCAGATTTGTTCGATTTCGGACTTTCCGAGTGCTCCGAAATCCCTGAGATAGTACTCCATCAGGAGCGCTCGCCATCACATAAGTAAGGGTAGATTGGTAAAGATCACCACACAATTGCCCCGTGTACTCCCGACTACCCCAAAAATCGACACGTCATTAGTTATCTCTGTTTCAAAACATGTTTTTATAATTGATTTGGTACACCAGAACAATTAATTATGGGGAAAAAAACAGGAATACGAATTACTGGTGTTTCAGTGCATTTCAAAACAAATTTGGCAATATTAACTTATAATTATTCACAATTAGAATGGAGGTTAACGCGGGTAGAGTCGGGGTTTTAATTGAGATTATTTTTGACACATATTTTGCATTTATAACGCATGACATATGAACTCGTATACATTTAAATAGGTGTACATACATTCTGACATTGTTTATTTTTTTAAATGACCGTTCCTGCAGACGATAAGGGTTACATGTACCTACTTATAAGATTTGTTCAAGCCACTTTTGGTTTCGGTTCGGTTCTCTTAACAAAATGCACCTATATATTATACAGAACCAGTTCTACTCTTCTACTTAGCTTAGCCTTCGGCCTTAGCGGTTTGGTTCGCTATATACAGGTATACTTTGCTAAGAGAACCAAAAAAAATATGTATCATCCATCCAAAATATATTTTTACTGACCACTAACGGTAACTATACCTAGGGTACATCATGCGGTCGTTGAGGGGGGACCAATAGGTATATCTTAATCGTCGGAAATCAGTGAGAACTGCCACTGGGGCGTTCATAAAAGTACTTAAGAGATGAACAAAAAAAGTCGTCTTATATTATTTCGTGTACAGAAGAGAATTGAGATCTGCAGGGTGGGAAAGGTATTGACTCAATCAAGCCCTGAAACCCCTGAAAGGTTGCTGAAGGGGACCAAAACCCAACCAAATTAACCAACGACGACCCTCATCCATCATTCCCATCAGGCTTCTTCTTCTTCTTCTCACTTTATTGGCTACATAGGCTCTCCAAAATAAGGGCCAGTGTGACCAGGTTGGGCTAGATAATACTTAGATTTGCGAGCGGGAGAGATTAAATTTCTCCGTTCGTCCTTTGGGGTAATGAAGTTACGATGATAACTAAGTATAACTTTAGCGAGTTATTTTGGTCGCGAGGATAATTCAGCACTGTCTGGAGTAAGAAGGTTCTGCCAGGAGAACCAGTGTTGAGTACTTGAGTCAGCTTGAGTGTCGTTCCCATCAGGAATATGGTGTGACATGGCATTCAGTCTACGGTGGATCGATCGATATGTACAGCATAGACTACGCGCTGCGCAGCGTCTCGCGTCTCCCCTTCCACTATAGACCCCTAGACCGCTCGCGTCTGCTCGCGTCCATTTTGCTGCTGATCTCTCTCTCGGTAGTGCGCGTGTCTAGCGAGCGAACGACGATCTTCTCTTCTCTTGTGTATTTCGTCCAGCTCTTAAAGCTGGCGTCGGCTTTCTCAAGGACGACGTCAACGACTTATAAAGCGTCTCTTGGATTGTTTATTGCTGCTTATTGCTGAGTGGTGTTCCGTCGTCGACAACGACTTCTCTAAGGTAACGTAGCTCATAACCTAGAAAATTCAGGCTACAAAAAAATAGCGGAAATACATGTTTACAGTGCAACTCTCGTGTTATACACACATGATGTATTGTCAATTTTATCGTTTATTTCTTCGATTCATTTTATTTCTTAACTTTTTTTTCTTCCTTTTGTAAAAAGAGAGAGGTTTTATTGTTCATGTGAATTGTTGTTTATTGCTGGAAAGCAGTGCGTGGGCGTGAGAGGATACCTATACCATACATTAGAGGCATGCACCCACACACGTTATCACATCTAATTACGCTCTGCCTATCCTCTTAACCTTCATACTCCGTACGCGGCACTAGGCTAATTTATTTTTGTTCATTCGCCGAATTCTCGTTAAGTTTTAATCTTTTTCTCTCTCTCTCACTTTTAACTTTTTTTTTTTTTAGTTGTCACACACCCTAAAATGTTTATTACATCCTAGTAAAGTTTTACATGGGAAAAAGTAACCATTTGATATTTATTTTTCTATACCTACCTCTCTTTGATAGTTATTTTATGCAAACATGTATACAAAGCAAATCCAACCTAAGAAAACTAAATATTTATCAAAAAAGAGATAGCTATTATTTCTTACAATCCCTTCTTTATTTTGTACCTGAAATTAGATCTGTACTTATCTTTGGTATTGTTTTGTTCTTCCATTTTTGTCAAAATTAGAGCTAGGACTTTTTACTGCAATGTTGTTAATTATGACAATTGCATCAGCCAACATTTTGTCTCATCTTACCCACACCCGTGATGGTATAAGAAGCTTAACAGTTTTTGTATTTGTTTCATAATTATCAAATATACTGTTTTTTTCATTTTAATATTTTTTCAGAAAAAATTAAACGTGAGTTAATGTAATATTTGTGCATTAACTTATTTTTGTTATTGCTATAAAAATAGTAATTGTATGACTACTTTTAAAACATATGAAGCAGTTAAGTTACAAACAAAATTTAATTGTAAAGAAAGGATTGATAGATCAGTGCCACTTATTTTAACATTCATTTATCTCGTGAATTTAATCCCTTACAATTATTAATTTGTTGTATTTGCTTATTATATATGTATACATTCCTTATCCAACAACTATTTTTACATGTTGATTTCTGCTTTTTTTTTAATATACTTAGTCTTATTTGTTTTCGCACGCCCAAAAACCATTCTTTCAGGTCAAAAAAGTTCGCTCGCTAAAAAACCAAAAGCAAAACAAACAATCTAGTGGAAGTAAAAAGTATAAGTTTACAGTTTGGCATTCTACCATATTATGTTAATGTAGTTTGTGTTGTGCTCTATAGTTTTGAGAAAACTTTGTTGAATGAAAAAAAAAAGTTCAAAGTTTGTCATCTATTGATGGCAAAAGCAAAAACTCAGGCATTGTAATGTTGCGAGTATGCCGAAAAATGAAATAACCGAAAAGTTCAATCGGTGCCGGCCAAGTATAGTTACGCGATATCGTGTACGAAAGTCATAGTTTCGCGCGCGTCATTATACACTCGTTTATCGAAACACGTTGATGAGCGTGTTGAGAAAAAAAAAAAAAAAAAAAAAAGAAACGAAAAGGAAACGAAAAAAAAAAAGTACAAAACTTATATTTCATCCAAAAGTCAGTAAGAATGTAATGAACCTACCTACGCAAGACGAAAAATGTCGTCACTGCATCGTGAAATGCAAGCCGAATATGTTGTTACACTAAGTATAAAGTTAAAGTCCGAGTCAGTAAATAGTCGCGAGTTTGAGTTTTCATTTGCACGAGAAAGTGTTTCTCGACGAGACGCAATGGCGCTCGTAGAAACCTTTTTGTGCCTAACAACATCAAGAGCAAGTACTGCATGGGCTCTTTTCGACACAGGTAAGCCCAGCGCCACAGCCGCAAACTTTCATGATGGAAGAGCTAGCTCTTGCCCTCTGAATGATCTCTTTTATATTTATAAACAAAATAGTTAAATGAGTACTTATGAATAAAACAAATTTTTTAATGTTATTTAAATTGAATAATATAAAACTGTTATACCCAACAAGTAAAAATTGAAAGAAAAAAAGTTAACCCGTTAAAAAGGTAATGATAAATGATTCCTTCATACAAGGTTTTAGTTTTAAAATTTAGTTGATTTAATAATCATTGTTTACAATAATTATATCAACTTAATGCTAAGGTGAATAATCATTCAAGATTGTTTTATATATCCTTAAAAATATTAAATCGCGAATGTAAATGGGAATGGAAAAAACACCAACAATTCAATAAGCTCGCTTGTCACTTTAATTTATAATTTGAAGTATAAAATGCTAATGCTTATGATGATAATAATAATAATTCAATTACAAGAAGCAAAACACATGAAACATATAACAAAGCTTCTTGGGTCACTTGAGATGGTACGGGAGAATAATGAACTTTAACTATCACCCAATATTTGGCTAATCGAGCGTTGATCTGTGTTCCAGGCTGAATTAATTAACTCAGCGCCAAATCAGAGTATCATCGTTATGTCCGACTCGGAGAGCTCGTCTTCAGAAAGCAACAACGAAGAGCGCACCAGTGCGACGACGCCCGACGGCTCAGCATCACCTCAGTCTCGCGAGCGTTCAAAGACACCGGACAGTAGTCAAGCCTCCTACAGGAGTAAATCGGTTTGTTCTGCCCCAGCTTCACCGGAATCCGGACCGGCATCACCCGATGGTCCAGCTTCCCCAGTAGTCTCGAGACCTGCATCCCCAGCATCTGGTCCAGCCTCCCCGACAACTTCGGGTCCAGCCTCTCCAACGGCTTCAGGGCCTGCATCTCCTGCTTCCGGTCCAGCCTCTCCAGACGATTATCAAGCGTCCGGTCCCGCGTCCCCGGCTTCACCCAAATCACCAGCCTCAGCCAAATTCGAGGAACGCGACGACAGTGCCGACTCGGATCACATTTCCTGCCCCCACTCACCCAAGAACTACCGATATGAGGACTCTGGCGATGAGTCACCGCGCTCCCCGTGCTCGCCGCACTCACCTCCGTGCTTGCCACGTTCTCCACACTCGCCGCAACAGCACAATCATTCAGATGCCGGTAGGAGCTCACCTAGATCGATCCAATCACCCGATAGGATCAACTCGCCCGCCTGCCCGCACATGGACGAGCCCACGTCGCCCAAGTCCTACATCTCTGAGCTAACTTCACCCCAGTCTGTTCGCAGCACGCCCAAGTCACCCACCGGGTAAGTGTGTTTTGCTACATATTTTTCAGGCGTGACTTGTTGATTTTTTATTTACCTATACATGTACATTCATTAAGTGAACCCTATTTCAGATCTGACCATGTTCGGGCGTCGAAGAAGAAGAGAAAGAAGCGACCGCGTTCACCATCTCCGCCACCTGCTCGAGACAGCGAGTACGAAATTGACGGCGAACAGATATCGGATGGCGAGATGGAGGCTGATGAGTCACAAGTCAAACTACACGATCACAGTCACGAGGACATGAGCGGTGTGTCAGACCTTGACAGCGTGGACGGCGATGAAAATCGACGTGTCAACGACGATGACAACGACGACGATGCGGTGGCTTGCCAAGCAACAAATGGGCCGACGAGCAAAGAGACTCCCAACCATTCGGAGGATGAAGAGAGCAAAAGGGAGGAGAAGAACAGTGCTACTTTGAACGATGATCATGAGCAACTTGACTTCGAAGCCGACGGACAGTGGAAGGATGTAAAGGAAGACGCCGAGTCGGAGTCGAAAGATGCTAAGGATGCCAAGGAAAGCGATGAGAAAAACGAGGAAGAAGAGCTAGTAGTCAAGCTTAAAGAGCCCTCGGAGAAAGACAACAAAGAGAAAAAAGACAAGAGAGATAAGGTGATTGTCGTCTGGGTTTTAGAATTTTTTTTACGTTTCAAGTTGATTTCTGTGCTGTTATTAATCTTGTTTGCAAAGTAGTAAGGCTAAAAAAACGTAAATTTCATCTTAGGCTAAGGAAAAAGAGGCGGGTGAAATAAATGATAAAGATGACACAAAAGAGGATGGAGAGAAGCTCGAATCCGAACTGGAGGAAGGTGAATTAAGCGACGGTGATGAAGCTAGACCCGAAGAGACGGAACCACGACCGGTATGCCGCTTCTACAATCGTGGGCAGTGTACGTGGGGCGTAAGCTGTAGGTTTCTACATCCAGGAGTCACGGATAAGGGCAACTACACCATGTTCGATATGGTGCGACCCATGGCTTATCCACCGCCACATCCTCCTCACGAGTTCCGACCACATATTGATAGGCCACCGTTGATTAGGCCACCTATGCCTGGCTATGGACCACCTGTTGTCCATCATCCCCCAAAAACTGACGAGGCTCCGTCTGAAAGTGCATGGGAAAGAGGCTTGAGGCACGCCAAGGAGGTCGGTAAACCACGATTATTTGGCCCGGCCGTCAGGGGGTCTGAGTATTTTGATTTTTTACTTTGGGTTCCCCCGGTAACTTGAGTTTTCTTTTAATGTTATTTCCACATGGAGTGCCGAAATAAGTTGGTTGCCAAGTCCACAATGATTTTAATCTATTGTATTTATTGTTTAGTAACTTAATTATCGCCGTTAGCACCCATTTGTGAAGAGTATCTTGAAGTAAGTTGTTTATTTTTGAAATGCGAACTATGTAAACTTGTTTGGATATCAATAAAAATTATTTTATTTTATGTGCATCATTAGTGACAAAATTTATATATATATATATTGATCATTCTCGCGNCATACTTATAAAATAAAAATTAAATACGATTTGTGGATGATTCAGTAGTAATATGAAATTAGAGTAGGTATGGACTAGGTAACCGAGATAATCTGTCTCCAGTAATAACATCAGAATAAAAAAACTTAAGCTATTACATAGACTGAAAAAGAATACTCAGACCCTCTTGTTGGTCTATTAAAAAGTAATGTTTAATTGTTAATAACTAGATATATAGTAATTTGTACGTTTGTGCACTAGAAACATTCATGTCTCTTAGTATCGACAAATTTTATCAAGCAAATATCGATTCCCTGTGTTAAAAAAAGACAATTCAAGTTACCAGGAAACCTAAAGACAAATTCACCACCTCTATCCCCTTTAAGTCGTCGATCCAGAAATCGTTTTTTTATATGTATAATTACATTTATATCTTATGTATTGATGTTTTTGTATACCATTATTTAACTAACCCTTTGAGAAACGTATCTACTAATCAACAATTTAAAGTAATTCATTTTTTTAATGGTAACTAAAACATAATTAGATTTAGATGTAATGTGTATATTTTTTTCTGTACTTGTTATAAATAACTAGTTATCCTAAATTATACTTGCAGATAATTATTCAAAAAATATTTGAACAGTTATCATTTTGGATGTTGCAAAGTACTTCAGTAATATAACTATAAATTCTGCAAAAATAACTTGAATAAAAAAAAATCAACGTTTTCATAGCTCTTGTAATATAAAACAGTTTTTCTTGAATTTAAAAAACGAATACTATTATTAATATGTCAATTTTTTTAAATTGCATTTATTACACTATCATCGTGAAATAATTGATTGCAGACATGAAAATATCACTTTGGTAATTTTTAATTTAGTACTAGTATGTAATATTTAGGTTTTATTACTCAATTCATTTAAAAAAATCTACAACTGAAATAACGTAACTATCAGGCTTCCAAATAGACTTTTTTCGTCAAAAAATCTCGATTATACGTAAATTTTTAACTCTGACTTGTGTTTACTCAAAAATTTTTATTTCAAAATTGTATCAGGACCAACCCATTATGTATGTAATCATTATTTGTCAAGTTTTGAGAAAAGTCTTTTTTTTCTTTTGTATTAATGAAATTATTATATATTTTTAGTAAAATATGGTTTATTTGTTAGGTTGAACAAATGTACATGTATTTGTTAAGTTCAACATCACAAAAACTAGTTTGTTAAGATGTTTTGGTTGAAATTTTCTCATATGTCCAAGTTTTTTGTTGTCCTTTATTGTTTGTCTTTGCTAGATTTTTTATTTTTTTCGTAAATGAAAGGTTCAAATATTAGAAAGATCTTTTATCATTAGAAGAAAGGTTTACTTTTCACATTTCCTATTTCGAAACTATCTTGTTTTGTGTGGTTGATTCATCTTTGCACCAAAATTTTCTAGCATTATAATTTGGTAGTTGTAATCTTTTTATGCGTTTGAGTTCGTTTTTCACTCTTTTATTTATCATCATCAATTTCTTAGTTTTCAATTTCTCGTAGTGTTCCATCCTGCTTTTGTTTCTGATTATTCTGTCTCAAATAATCTTTGTCATTCTGAACAATACTAATTTTTACTTTAGATGCGTAATCGACGACCTGGAAAATGGAAGGGGCAGCAAATTTTGAAACAGTTAATTGTAAGATAATATGTTTAAAGTAGAGACGTAATTTTTATTATTATTTAACTTTTGAAATCGTAATTGCTATAATAGTATATTTAACACTCCCTTGTTGTAAATTTTATGAAAATATTAAAAAATACACGGAGTAATGAAAATAGCCAGATCACGACCCCGCGTACAAAAGTATTTTTTAATTGTTAATGAATAACTATACTTACATATCCTCGATTTTCTATGCGCGTGTACTAAACACGCCGCATTTAAAGTTTAACTTGACAATCGTGCATGCTTATTTATTATGAAAATTGAACACATGTCCTAAGTCTAACTGAACTTTATACGACTCATATTAAGGAAAAATTCAGGTGAATCGATCTTTGTGTATAAGTACAGCTAATAACTCCATTGGCTTTATTATCATTATACTAACGAAAACTTCATTTAGTCGCTTAACTAATGGTTGTTATTTTTCAAATAGAAATAATAAAAAAATCTCTCTGTAATCGGCAAAATAATATCGATCACGAAGGTATCCTTGTGCACAATAAAATTTCAAGGGAGATGTCTCGAATCACAGTGATTCATTGTGTAAGTCGATTTTGAAACGAAGAAATTAAAACATAATCTCAATCATTGAAATTTTTAACATTAAATACCAATTATAATTCGACCTACACAACTTGCAAAATTTCGTGTACGTGGCTATTATTTTTTTTTACGTTATTACTTAATTATTTAGATAAACTCGTGGAATCATTTTTTCCCCTACATGCCGAAATCTTGTTCTTTAGATGATGAGAAAAGCCAACAAACGTAAAGAGACTGACATGGATTTTGAAGAGAAAAAGATGAACTTGGGTCTAGGTCAAGACGAACTCGAGCGAGAAGCTGGTTATTACGTAAGACCCGCTAGTCCTGAGGCACCAGCCGAAAGGTGGCCTCCGGCACGTGAGCCACCGACTACAAGGCGAGCTGGGCCCCGGGCAACCCCAACTGAATATGCTGATGAGCCTGACCCTTACTATCATGGTGGCGCTCCTCCCGAGTACTATAGGTTTGTTGTATTGTTGGCTTACATCGCAGTGAAACAAAAAAAGTATATCTCGACTTGTCTGAATGATTGTTCTACTTTATAGGCGAGTCCACTACAAAGAGCCACGAGGCCCCGAGTACCGGGAGCGCACCGAATATCACATGGTGCCGCGAGCCGCACCACACTCAATTTCACCGTCTCCACACCCGCCAGATCCACGAGAACGCGAGTACTTCCACAGAGCTGCTAGCAAATATGAAAAGAAACACAAGCGACCTTCGCGCGAAGTTATCGTGGAACGCGTGCCCTCGACCAAAGTGTGGCGAGAGGAAGACACGGCGCTTGTCGAGCGTACACGAGGAGACGAGTGGGACGATCCGTGGATGCGGCGCAAGTCGCCAACTTCTCATAGCAGACGCAAGAGGCATGCCACTTCGTCAAGCAGACGATCTCGAAAACAATCCTACTCATCGGGCTCATCTTACTCTTCGTCGAGGTATACTTATACAGATACTAATAATGCTTCTGAACTTACGTGTGTATTGCAAATGTGCGCGCATGTGTGGCATGTTTCAAAAGCTTTGGTTTTTTGCTATTTGTTAAAGCTTTTTTTTTTTTTTAATAAAATTTTATCTTAAGATCCGGTTTTATTTTGTGCATGCTTCATGGAATCACAGAGGTGCGGGCATCTTTTTTTCGTTGTCTAAATTGACTTTTGTCGCGTTTGTATATGGTCTAGAGTTCTGCATCTTTAATCTAACAAAACGACTTGAGTATCTTGTATTTCCAGTAAATTTTCAACTTTCTTGTAACTAAGATTGTGTGATAAATTAGCTTTTTGTTTGATAAAGTGCTAATTATCGTCGATCTGGTTTTCATACAGTTAAAAGAAAGTAATACATAATTTTGTATTACAAAATAACAATTATAGTAATAATATTAATCTAATATTGAGATATTGCTCAATTAGGTTAAATTCAGTTGAAATTGTAGTGCAAACTAACATCGTAACAACTATTAGTAACAGAAGTAAAAAAAGAACCGCCCACTCTAAAAAAAAAAAACACCGTTAAACTTTTTTTTAGCTCTAGCCGTAGCTCAAGTCACAGTAGCTACAGTTCTTATGAATCCGTCTCCAGGTCCCGTTCCCCATCTCCTCCACCCAGGTCCAGAGCAAGCAGCAAGAAAATTCCTACCTCCCCACCCCCGAGCTCGTTGTCGTCACATCGAACTACGGCAGCAATGTTGATGAATCCACCTGCGCCATCGCCACGCACGTCCGTTAAGCTGTCCCCCTCTTCGGTTTTACATCGGCGCACGGCCTTGAATCCACCGCCTCCTAATTCACTCGCAGCGAGTCTCAAGCAAAGGGAAAAGGCAAGGGACAGTGCAAGAGCACTGGCTGCCGCTGCTGTTGCCAAAGTTATGAAGAGCCACTCGAGGTCCAGGTTAGTTATTTTTACTTAGTAGGTTTTTAAATGATTAAATATCGCCTCTGTCTCTCACATTCCACTTTTTTTTTTTTTTTTTTTTTTTTTTTTTATAACTTTCAATACATATGGTTTACTAGTCAAAAATCAAGAAAATTAGTTGATTTAATGCTAAATATTCTGTTTAATTATATCGTATGTAATACTACATAAGCAAATCGCAAATTCTTCATATTTTTCAGAGAAATTGATACTTGAAAATCGACCATCTGAGAAACATTGGAGAATTTCACTCAAAAATAAACAACATCAACATGATCATTTTTTACTACTTTTATTTGAAAATCTCGCATACTTATAAAATAAAAATTAAATACGATTTGTGGATGATTCAGTAGTAATATGAAATTAGAGTAGGTATGGACTAGGTAACCGAGATAATCTGTCTCCAGTAATAACATCAGAATAAAAAAACTTAAGCTATTACATAGACTGAAAAAGAATACTCAGACCCTCTTGTTGGTCTATTAAAAAGTAATGTTTAATTGTTAATAACTAGATATATAGTAATTTGTACGTTTGTGCACTAGAAACATTCATGTCTCTTAGTATCGACAAATTTTATCAAGCAAATATCGATTCCCTGTGTTAAAAAAAGACAATTCAAGTTACCAGGAAACCTAAAGACAAATTCACCACCTCTATCCCCTTTAAGTCGTCGATCCAGAAATCGTTTTTTTATATGTATAATTACATTTATATCTTATGTATTGATGTTTTTGTATACCATTATTTAACTAACCCTTTGAGAAACGTATCTACTAATCAACAATTTAAAGTAATTCATTTTTTTAATGGTAACTAAAACATAATTAGATTTAGATGTAATGTGTATATTTTTTTCTGTACTTGTTATAAATAACTAGTTATCCTAAATTATACTTGCAGATAATTATTCAAAAAATATTTGAACAGTTATCATTTTGGATGTTGCAAAGTACTTCAGTAATATAACTATAAATTCTGCAAAAATAACTTGAATAAAAAAAAATCAACGTTTTCATAGCTCTTGTAATATAAAACAGTTTTTCTTGAATTTAAAAAACGAATACTATTATTAATATGTCAATTTTTTTAAATTGCATTTATTACACTATCATCGTGAAATAATTGATTGCAGACATGAAAATATCACTTTGGTAATTTTTAATTTAGTACTAGTATGTAATATTTAGGTTTTATTACTCAATTCATTTAAAAAAATCTACAACTGAAATAACGTAACTATCAGGCTTCCAAATAGACTTTTTTCGTCAAAAAATCTCGATTATACGTAAATTTTTAACTCTGACTTGTGTTTACTCAAAAATTTTTATTTCAAAATTGTATCAGGACCAACCCATTATGTATGTAATCATTATTTGTCAAGTTTTGAGAAAAGTCTTTTTTTTCTTTTGTATTAATGAAATTATTATATATTTTTAGTAAAATATGGTTTATTTGTTAGGTTGAACAAATGTACATGTATTTGTTAAGNGAAAATTTTGTCATTTTTTTAAGTAACAAAAAACTCTGTGATTTTTAATTCCACAATTCATGTTTTACCCGAATATCGATAGCTTTTGCCAAACAGAGTAGTCCAAAAGAACGGCACAGTTTTTAATGAAGTCCCTTTTTTGCAAATATTTTGTGCTGCTTTTTCTTACTACTTATTTTCAGAGCATCAATCACAGCTTGAACATACATACAATACCTACCAGTTTTTGTAGTTTTTATTTTTACTTTTAAGTTTCAAATATATTTATATAATTTACAAATAACGTTAACAGAAAAAAATCTAAGATAAACTCTGAAGGGAAATCGTTTTGTCTAAATTTACCAAATGTAACGAAACAGTGAATCTTTCTTCATTTAATATCAAAACTGTGGTAAAATACTAATTTAGATGTCCATCATTAAAAGCTTTTACAATTGCCGCACTCTTTAATAGCCATATATCTTGAAATTTTACGTTCACATAATTTTCACTATCAACATTTTTACTTTCGATCCTTGCTTTTATTCAATTTGCTTTAACCTTACGCAAACCTCTGGCTACCTTCACTTGAAGCTTGAAATCGTTTTATAATTAGCAGTGCATAAACAATATGTGTTACAACTTATTTAGCTTTTTCAGTCGATGTTTATTCGAAATTTTTTTTTCAAGTAACCATACTTCAATAACATATTTCTCGCATGTCTGTCACTACTAATATTATAATTGGACGCTTTCAGTGTAAAAAAAATAGTTTGTGATTGCCTTCTTAGGTTACTAGAAGAATTCGAGACCTTATCTGAAAAGAATCCCTTCTGGAAAGCATACTTGTCAAAGCTCGATGGAAGTGACGAGCAATCAGACACGTAATTTTTTTCTTTTATTTCGCATTAGAAGTAGCATCTATCCCTAACATCTAACACTGCTTGTTACTTTTGAAACTTCTGTTCTGAACAGTGAATTTTACATTTGGAGGAAAATATAATTTATCAAAAATATGTAACGAACAAAGAAAGTTTATCTTAGAATTTTTTTGTAATTTAATAACTCGCACATTGAAATAACGTAAAATATTTCCTTTTGCAATCGTAAAGGAAACGAAAGCGGTAAGCTAATACCTACGATTATTACTGTGATTAAAATTTTTTTTTTTAATCTGTGTTATTGTGTTGCATCATCAAATACACTTAATCTAAATCTTGATGAACGTAACTTATTATTTTTAACACAATTCTTATGTTCGTTTAAAAACCTATTAATATATAATAACACGTATTTTCCTGCCATAACGATCATAAACTATGTTATTATACTAAAATCATACACATTAATTAAGACAAATAAAAACGAAAATTGATAAACCCTTGCTTTTTACCAGATCCTCGCAAAGTTCCTCTGGCTCTGATAGCAGTAGTAGCGGCTCGGATTCATCTTACTCGTCAGACTCGTCAGATTCGTCATCGGAAGCGCGCCAACGCAAAGGCTCTAGCCGTAAAGAATTGAAAGAGCTCAAAATGAAAATGACCCAGCAACTGGCGGCCAGCAAAAAACTTAGCAACGCAAGTCTCCCTGGTAAAAAAAGGCATGCTGAATCTCCACCTCTGTCGGAAAAAGCAGCCAAAGCAGCGAAAAAAGGTGCCAATACCAGGCGTGAAGAGTTACTGAAGCAACTCAAAGCTGTTGAGGACGCAATCGCGCGAAAAAAATTGAAAGCTTAAAAATAAAAGTTTTCTACTCTCAGAGGCGTTAAATGTGTACGCAGGAGAGACTTAGTGATGTTGAAAGCATACATTTTTCTCTTTCTGTTATTGACTGTGCTTGCATGGGTCCAACGTAATTTTGTTAATCATTGCGGTAGCCTAATAACAAAAGATAATTATTTTAAATGTATTGCATTGTAAAAACGGAAGTGTAGTTTTTAGACCGAGGCGCTATGAGTGCGTCTATTGGAAGGGCCTCAAAAATGCAATCCTGTTATGTAAATTTTCTTAGATTAATCTTATTTTTGTGTATTTAGAATGTAAGGTGTACAGTTTGAATACTACTTTTATACATTTTTGAGGCAGTTATGTGGTTTTCATTAGTTGGACTTTTTATTTATTTATTTTATTTCATTTTTTTTCTTTTTTTTTTTTTTTTTTACAAATTGAAATGTAAAGTCATAGGTTTTTTTTATTTTATAGCATGAACAGCACCTGAGTAGTATTGCTTTTGTAGATGTCTAGTTAAATGGAAATTATTTTGATCGTTACAGTCATACTAACAACACAAATCTTGTAATATATATGAGTACTCGTATTAAGAAACACAAATTCCTTGAAAATAAATCTCTTAGCAAATTACTGCTTACATATTCTAGCGTATTTTGTGTTGTATGACATAAAAGTTTGAGAATACATAAAGATGCACTTTGAAGTAGATTGATAGTTAATTGATCTGCACTGATAATTATTAAATAATTTGATCTTTGATTACAGAATTATAAAGAATTTTCTTACTAAAGGTTAAAAGCTTATCAATCTCTGAGTTACTATTTGAGCAACACTTTTTGAATGCAATCTCAAAGACGCTCTTACACAGCTATCAAAGCAGACGTATCACTTTACATTATTATTAATGTATAACCAAGTTGCCGGTGCGTAAAAATCACTCAAACATGATCTGGAACTAGCAGAATCAAAAAATCTTTTACTGTTGAAATTAATCGTTCCACGACCGTTTCAGCTCGGTATTCATGAAATCAGACTATGAATTGGAAAAGTTTTTTTGTATAGTAAACAATCAGGTTGTATACTGTAGGCATAACTAATAGTCCAAATAAATTAATTGCTTTGCGTTAGTTGTAATGAAAAAATAATTGTACCTATCATTTTTTTTATCAAAGACTAAAAGGACACACCAATAAAATGAATAGTTTAAGCTCGTTTGGTGATTTATTTCTGTATTTAAAATAAATCAATCTAAAAATTTGTAAAGTTAAAACAGAGTTTTATGTGTTACGTATATGTACACAAATGCGATATCGATACATATATTGTTTTATGTTGCTAAACAAATTATTTCATTGTAAAATACAATCAACTTTTGAAAATAATAATTAATTTTATAAGATGAATAGTAAAATTTTTATTTAGTTATTTTTACCTAAGTATTGGATGCTGACATACAATACCTACCAGTTTTGTAATCGACGACCTGGAAAATGGAAGGGGCAGCAAATTTTGAAACAGTTAATTGTAAGATAATATGTTTAAAGTAGAGACGTAATTTTTATTATTAAAAATATAAATACTTAAAAGTTAAATGATAATTAAATTTTATTTTTAATGAGTAAATATTAAGTAAAGCTACATCAAGCCACAGCATTCAAAAAATTGCCCGCTACGTAAAAGCTACATTTTGTACTAGGTATCGCTGATTTTGTGTCTTATCGCCTATATATACTGCATTTGGTGTGACACACGTTAAGTGATTGGATATTTTCACAATCAAATCTTGTGGAGTCCGAGTTTTATCGAAACTTCATGTTACAATATTAAGTTTTAAAATTAAGTAAAAAACCACTTGTCATTTTTAAATCGATATTGCAGTAGCCCTGACAGCTGCACTCAGCAACGGATTTGGATCTGGCTCCTCAGTCATTACAATAACCCTGGTCCATTCTCTTTTCTTACTACTTATTTTCAGAGCATCAATCACAGCTTGAACATACAAGCCATCATCAAAAGTAGCAGCTCTAGATACAGGCTCGTTTATCCATCCCCTTTTATCCTCCACAGGTTGAAAAGCTTCTCTCAGAGCATCAATAATTTTTTGAAGACCTTTAATGTAAGGCCGAGGAATGAAATCTGCAACTGAAGATGTATCCTGGGCATTAACTTCATCAAGATACAACACCTCTTCCTGGTGTCCTTTGCAGCCATACAAGTCTCCGCCTTTCACAACCAAGTGACCACCTGGGCCACAAATAAGAACTTCCTGGCATAACTGACCAGGTAAGTGATTGCTCAAAGTAGCCGTGACCATTGTACCTCCACTGAGTTCCATTTGAAAGGAACAAAAATCTGGAGCTGTTATGTGCCTAATGCCTTTAATGTGTTTTGTTGTTGTGGTAAAGGTTCTTACGACTGCATGAACCCTAATGGCTTTTTGATGTGTTAGATAAGATATCAAATCTATAACATGACTGCCTACCACAGATAAAATTCCTCCTCCCATTGTTTCATCGCATAACCAGTCATACCCTGAAAAAAATAAAACAATGAAAATAGCCCACTTCTCGACAACTTGACGAAATATTTGAAATCGACCCACCATCTTTCAGCAAACTACCCATCTGAACTCTGATGTCAACAACAGAGATTGGACCAGATAAATATCCTTCTTCCAATTCCTTCTTCATCTTAGTAAATGCAGGCAAAAAGCGTAAACTGTGATTAACAATGCTGATAAGGGAGGGATAGTACTGGGCAGCCTTGACCATCTTGAGAGCTTCGCTCTGGCTGAGCCCAGCGGGCTTGTCGCAGACGACGTGTTTGCCTATTCCCAGAGCTTTGACGGCAATTTGCGCATGCAAACTCGGTGAACACATGATAAATATGAGGTCGACGTCTCGTCGGAGTAGAACATCGTCGATTCTGCTCGTATGAAAGGGGATGCCAAGTTCCAAGGCTGCGTCCGACGCTTCGGCTATCGTGCGGCCCCATATGGCCTCGATTTTGAAGCCCTTTTCCCTGAGGAAGGGTATGAACACTTTAACTACACTACCTGTACCGAAAACTCCGATGCCAGGTAGCATTTTGGATTTGAGACGCCGATGAAATGAATTATGTGCTTTACAGAATTTTTTCCATTTGTTTTGTTTATTGCATTTTATTTGAGGAATCAACTTTTTTAGGTACAATACTTATTGTATTAATTATGGCTGTAGTAACAATTTTTTCTGCTTCCTGAAGATTCGCGAAAGCGCGCACAATGCACAACAGTGTCAACAGTGACAACAAGTTGCAAAGCAGACGGTTTCTATTTTATCTACTTAATAGTTAATACGGAATACTTAAGTATATACAGCCTGTTACGGGTGTGTTCCAGTATTCTGAGCCACGAGACACGAGAAAAATCGCACGCTAGATGGCGTTGATTAAAATTCATACAAGATCGATGAGCGAGGGCCACATATGATTCCGATGAAGCCCGATCTCACACCCGAAGGCTTCCGGTATACTAACTACAGCTATAGTTTATTGTACATATACTTACACCTAATAGGCAAATTTTTTGTAATCTGTTGTTTATGCAAGTGTTTCTGTATGTGTCACAAGTAAAAAACCTACATTTTTATAATTTGCTGATACGCTATGAGACTCACAATGATAATGTTTTTTGGTAAAAAACCATATGGATATAAATACAGAGGGTTAGTAACGGTATTTCTAAGAAATATTTCGATTATTTGCTTTTTAACCTTACTGTGATTTTAAAGATTTGACTGAGCATCGGTAATTGATGTTACGTTTTGTTTAGGTGCATGTGATAAACAAAAGTTTATAAAATATTTTAGAAATGAATGAACTGAAAGAAAAAAAGCGTTCGCGTTATCTAACTTACAAGTATTAATAATAAAATAGTAGAATTTAAATAAAATAGTATTATTTTGTATCATTTGTGTTTTTGTAATTAATTTCAATAGGTCTAATGTTTTTTCCTTTTTTTTTTTTTTACAGAAAACATCGAGTGGTAGTAGAGCCCAAGATCAATGACTTGGCAAACTTGAGGTATAAGTACGAAAGGATTGAAAAAAATATGCTTATTTTGCGACATCCCTATTTAACAGTTGAGCAGTCTTATGGTCACATGGCTTTAGATAAAGATTATAAAAAAGAAATGGCAATTGCTGTGCACTATAAATTCAGAAATGACAAATTTTCTAAGCACGTCACTTTAGCAGAAAGATTGGCTCATTTAAAAGTGAAAGATGCTTGGGATTAGTTATCAACAAACGATCTTTAATACACAATAAATATATTGTAAATAACGTTTATTTATTTTACTAAAAATATAACAATTTTTAAGTACCAGCATTTAGTTATTAGTGTTAATCTTCTGTGTTATTAAAATTTTTATTAACAATATAATACTTAAGAAATAAAGTATCTTACCCTGCATTTAGATAAATACTTAAATAACTAAGAAAATCATTGAAGAATGTTTGTGTGTAACAGGTTAATCATTTTTTATTCTAAGAATAAATAAACTTAACAATTCACAGTATCAACTTTCTCAAATAAGTTAAAGTGCCTATAATTTTTGAATACTTCAAAGGTTGAGTATTGATGAATTTTTTTGTAACCAAACGTTGAAGTGTAAGGGTATGGTAGCTCCTGGTTTGTTGAGATGATATCCTAAAAGTTTATAAAATTTTTTCAAAAGCATTAAGAACAAATTTGGTCCCTTGTAAGTTGCATGCAGAGAAGAGCTTATTAATCTTGAATAATCTCAAATCCGCATCATTTGTAGTTTCATTTGGTTTTATGTTTTTTATTTTATTATCATTTTTTTTTAATTTTCAAGTGTACCACCGCGGAAATAAGTACTTATTTCAAAAGTCTTACGACTTCATGGCTGGCTGAAAATCCTTAGGTTTATGACGCATCCATCCTATTGGATCTTTTTCAATTTCCTCTTCAGTAAGTACTTTGCCTTCATAAACGTTATTGGCAAAATCTGCCACAATTGGATCTGTGCCTAAACTGCTCATTGCTACAACTTCACCACTTTTTATGTAATATGCAAAGAATTTTAAATCTTCCAAGGATCCATGTATCATAATTTTTTCAGGTTTTCCGAATCCTATATAAAAGTAAAAATAAAGAATGAAAATTTTGTTATTTTTTTAAGTAACAAAAAACTCTGTGATTTTTAATTCCACAATTCATGTTTTACCCGAATATCGATAGCTTTTGCCAAACAGAGTAGTCCAAAAGAACGGCACAGTTTTTAATGAAGTCCCTTTTTTGCAAATATTTTGTGCTGCTACTTTGCCATGATAATGAGCCAAGGAAAAATGACCAATTGCTGCTGATTTTCCAGCAGCATACACTGGTGCATAAGCGATATCTCCTCCAGCATATATATTATGTATGTTAGTTCTCAAATGCTATACAAATAAATTAAAAAACATTACCATCTACGATTTTTCGCTAATAAATAATCAGTGTAACTGAATTTTCATACTTTATCCACTGTTACTGAACCATCATCTTGGAGATGAATTCCTGTTTCCTTGAGCCAATCAGTAGAAAAAGTTGAGCCAATTCCCAATATAACTATATCAGCTTTCAGAACGACCCCATCATTGAGTTCAATTTGTCCTACAAGTTGTTTATTGTCTTCCCTTGATAAGAATTTGCAGATACCATTGTTGGCTATAAATTTGACACCCTTCTCTTCAAACTCTTTCATAACACGCTTCCCTATGTCTTCTCCAAAAACTGTACTAAACGGTACAGAATCCCGGCCAATAACAGTCACAGATGCAACCTTATCAGCACAGTAGGCTGCCGTCTCCAAACCAACAAATCCTAAACCTAATGTCACAACGTGCTTGTCAGATCCCAGCTGCTTGAACACAGCCTCTGAATCTGTATAGCTTCTCATGACAAATATATTTTGCAATTCCATTCCTTGCACATTATGTTGTCTTGGGATACAACCAGTTGCAATAAACAGGTGATCGTAATGCAATTGTTCGCCATTATCTAGACATATGGTTTGCTTCTCAGTGTCTAAATTCACAGCAGAGACTCCTAGTTTTGTCTCAATGTTATTTTCGTCATAAAACTTTTTTGATCTCAACAAGGCTTTTTGCACGTCAAAGTCTAGCACTTTAGAGACTTTAACCCTGTCGTAAGGTAAAACATTTTCTTTGCAAACCATGACGATTCTACCTTCAAAATATTCTTGCCTAAGCGTTTCAGCGCAAGTAGCGCCAGACGTGCCGCCACCAACAATAACAACCGTCTCGGGGTGTCCTGGGTTGAGTTTACACATTTTTTTAGTTTTCCTATTGGCAACAAGATCTGTGATCTTGGCTTTGACTCTTACTTGGCCTTTCTCAACTGATACCTTAGCGCATGAAACAAACGATCATAAAAAATTTTAGTCAATAGGGAAAAAAATTTTTTTTTTTAAATAAGGAGAAACTCACCTGATAGCATGGTAGAGAATCAAGCCCAGGGTAATCCTCGATGTCTCCAGTTTTTATATTGAAGCAAGCTCCATGCCAGGGACACCTGACTCGTCCCTCACCTAGTGCTCCAGTATGCAGCAGGGCCCCATAATGAGTGCACTTTGTGCCAATGGCATGCAACTCTCCTTTCTGCTTGATTAGCAGTATCTTTCTACCTTCCGTGCCAAGTGGCAGCAATTTCATTTCGTTCTCCTTGATGTCCTCCTCCTTGCACACGACATCCTCGATGTAGTTTACACTTTCTACCTTGCCTTTGAAACAGGCAAGGAAGGATTGTATCATGGTTTGTTTTTGTTTTTTTTCATATACGACTACAGGTAATTGTTACAATAGAAGGATGGAAGGAATGGTATTTAAGGAAACTTACTGGGACAGTTGCAACTACGAACATTGGTCCGAAAAGCAGCGGATCTGTCAGGAGTCTCTTTGGGTGTACAGGGTGTTTTACTGGGAGGCTCTTGCTTACCTGACATGCTTTAAACTGTACGCCACAAATTGATGTTTGATTTCAACCTCGAATTAAACTACCTAAGTATACAAAATAGAATTCTGTAAGTTAAATGCTTTTAAAACTACCAAAAAAGTATAGGTGAGTACTTTGTACGCATGTCGTAAAAAAATAGCTGCGCTTGACTACAGGACTGACAGGACCACACCTTGTTTTTTTTTACGCCAAGGATGTGTAGGTAAGTATCTATGTTCAATTGCTCGTGTTTAGTTGTCTACGTGCTTGCTGTGAAAGTGGATACTCATGTGAAGATGTGGAATGTGCACTCTCTATGTGCAGGAGCAGGACACGAATTACAGACAACTATACATGTTAAATTCAAGTTCTGAGTTTTGAACTTTCATAACGCATAAAGAATCTACAAAAATTATCAATCAGCGAATCATATGTGTACCATACTTATTACAGTTATTACTCCTAGACTTACAATTCCTCATTACACAGAAAGTTAGACACTTATAGATATTTAAAATGTCTGCAACCTCACGAGTCAGCTCTCGTAAATAGATTATGCGTTTTAAATATCTAAATTTAAAATTAACAGTAAGTAATACGTGTGGATTGAAAAATTCAATGGTATTTACGGAAGCCCGGTCACGAAATCTGCATAAAAACGCATATAAGCACGCACAAGAACAAGTACCTATATATCAGTAAAGAGAGCACGTTGTAAGATATGATATACGATATACGTGAAGTTATGTGTAGTAACTATGGTAATCACTTCTAAGTAGTGCCATATGGTCGATTTTATTAAAACATACAAGTAGAATATCTATACTTTTAAAGATCAATTTTCGGGTAAATTATAAATTGTACACTTGCCGCAAATAGCACAGACAATGTCAACTTTTTATTTCGTATCTAGCAAATTAGTTGCGGCTGGTTTATAATCTATTACATGGCTCTGCTACGAGTAAATGATAATTATTTGGATCAGCGCCATCTAGCGTTGCGGATTTTTGAACTAAAAAGTGGCCCTAAACTTTTGATACAGAGCAATTAGGCTCAGAGCTATTTAGTTTATTACAAACCAGCCGCAACTCATGATAACGCTATAAAATAAAAAAATAATAATACATGTGTTTTTGACGGCAGGTTAACAATCTATCTTTTGCTTGAAAATTTATCTTCAAAAGTATAAATACATAGGAGGTCAATTTTTTGGTAGAAAATAGATTGTTAACTCGCCGCCAAAAACACATGTATTATTATTTTTTTATTTTACTGCGTTATCATGAGTTGCGGCTGGTTTGTAATTAACTAAATAGCTCTGAGCCTAATTGCTCTGTATCAAAAGTTTAGGGCCACTTTTTAGTTAAAAAGTCCGCAACGCTAGATGGCGCTGATCCAAATAATTATCATTTACTCGTAGCAGAGCCATGTAATAGATTATAAACCAGCCGCAACTAGTTTCAGAGATATAAAATAAAAATTCAACATTGTTTGTGCTGTTTGCGGCAAGTTTGCAATATATCTTTTACCCGAAAGTATAAAAATATAGAAGATCGATATTCGGGTAGAAGACAAATTGCAAACTTGCCGTCAATCGCTCAGACAACGTAAAATTTCTATTTTATATTATAAAGAAGTTGCGGCTGGTTTATAATTGACTGAAGGGCTCTAGGGCCTATAAACTGTCTAAAACTCTCGTTGAGAATTTTAGGGTCACTTTTTAGTTCAGAAATCATCAACGCTAGATGGCGCTGATCCAAATAATTTGTAGATAGAAGTTAAAAAGTTGACATTGTCTGTGATGTTTGCGGCAAATTTATAATCTATCTTTCACCAAAAAATTGATCTCCAAAAGTATAAACATACTTATATTAATATTATATTAATATATAAATTATATTAATAAATACACAAAATTATACATGACAGGAAAGAAGAAAATTAGCAATTGGAGCTCGATTTGGAATTGCGATCTATTGTTTGTAAATTATACGCGGTTGCAAGAAAATGAGTAGATAGTGTCACATACCTAGTCACATTGGGTACGTTTTTTTTTGGTAATCATTTTGTCGGTTTGATGCCTCTTGGCAAGCATGCTTTTCATATGGTTTAGAGCAAGAAAAAATGGTTTGATGAAAATGTGATCTTTTTTTTTCTTTAGTCGAAAAATTTCCAGAAATAGTTTTTCAGAGATGTCAATGTATGAGGAGGTTATGTTATGGGGATTAAAAACAAGGTTTTGTCAATGATGATGTACTGATAAATTTCATTTGAAATACTTTATTTGATATTGTTGTATTTGAACATCAGAAAAGAAATAACTAAAAGGAGGCGGTCTTTAACAATTTAATCAAGTGACTAGGGACAAAACTAGTTCTACACTGTAATATCATCGTTTATACAATAGTTAAAAGGTTTGGCTCCTTTGTTCAGTTTTAATCATTATAATTACAAACGGATATGTGTTTAGGGCGTATTCACATTTTGTCTTGTTCATATATTCATTCGTATTGTTATAAACTCTCAAAGGATTATGTGAATAAAAACAAGAGAAACGCTAGATTAGTCCACACAATTAATTTGGACAAGGATAGTCCGTTTTACAGGTCGATCATCCCTGATGATCACACAATCAAAAATCCATACAAAAATACAGTAATTTTTAGGTAATGATTGAACTTTCTTCTTTTTGATCTATTTGTGTGCGTTACAACTATTAAATTGGAAAAAACAAGAATAAAAAAATATTGTATTTAAAAAAAAAAAAAATACACAACTGTATTGTATCCAGACAAAAGGTTTTTGTACAGATTTTCAAGAGAACAACATAAGAGCAAACGGTATACGTTTGGACACATTCTGTTGCATATGTTTTACTCGACAATCGACCAGCAAATAATTCAGATGATACAACAATTCAACTAAAATACCATGGAGCGGTTAGTATTTGTAGTTTGAGCTCAATGTGAGCCATCGTACACAGTTAAAAAGAGTTCTCGAGTTCACACCTCTCCGGATCATTGATATACTCTCGTCGGCTACACCGTCTCGAGACCGCGTTTTATTTTTATTTTCTCTATCTTTCGGATTTGTTTTTTAATTTTTTGCTTTGCTTTCTATGTACAACTGCCGACGTTGTCTCACGGTGATAGCTACAGAGAACGATCACAGATACTTGGAGAGATATTAGAGAATTCTTTGCCTACAGTAGTATACAAGAATTTTACAAAAACAAAAAATTGATAGTAATAACAACATTACGCGCACATTTTCCTTATTTGCTTCTTTTTACATTTATTTACAGAGAGAATAATAGTAGATTGTGTGAGAACGGAGCTGCCAAGACACGAATCGAAACGATTTATTTAAATGTTGTTTTAACAGCGTCGAGACTTCTATTTTTTTTTTCTCTACACAAGAATCCAAAAGGGCAGCACCGAGTGTCACATTTTCTTCTTCTCTTTCGTTAAATTTCGATTACACATTTTTCTCCAACTCTTAAAATATACAGTTATTTATCTCAGCTTTTGACATAATACTAATGACACATCCGAGCAGAAGAATCATTTTCGTTGATCCGCTTAAAACGAATAATTAACGTATTTTTTTCAAGTACAAAAGCTTTAACTTTATTTTCAATAAATCTTGTCTATTGACATTAATTAATTAATACCATTACAAATAGGCACGATTCTTTCACCCGGATCAGACATTTTCGTTAGAAAAAAAAAAAAAAACTTTTGTTAAAATGTAATTGGTTCATTCGGTATCAGACGGAAATTTTATGTTTAAAACTTTGTAGGGGATGCGCAAAAAACGTACACACAAGAGCAACAATTTTCATCATGTAAGCTCGCTGTCGTATACCCTTTTACACTTTCAGTCTCATGAAGGCTTTTCTGAACAAATCAGCGCCGCGTCGTCGTCAAACGAGCTTTTGACTAATTGATTTTTTTTCTTTTTTTTTTCCACATCGCTCGTTTGCTCGAAAATAATATTATTGTGGTAAATTATGTTTTGGAAGATGAGAGTCGTGAGTATAAGATACAAGTTGCGAGTCGGGTGAGAAAATTTTTAAACTCAAAATCGCCAATACGCCCACTGGACACAAATAATCTCAAGTCAATAAAAAAAAATTTTTTTTCGTTTTATCTCGCATCGCGTCAATGTACGACCCGCAATCTTACATATACTAGCGAATCTTTCAATAGATATGTGTACACGCAACAAGGCGACAGTTGCGACGACGCGAGCGCGCCAGTTTAAAATAAAAAGAAGGCACTTTCTCGGTCCTTGACAGTTTGTTTGGTTTTTTTTTTTTTTTTTTTTTTTTTTTTTTTTTTTTTNTTTTCTCATCATACTTCCTACCCATACTTGTACCCTCTCTTCCTGTTTTTTTTTTCCTTCTTCATTTTCCTGTTTGGTATACAATACATGTACACACAGGTATAGATATTCGACGAACCTACACCCAATCAGCTTTTGTGTCATACGTTGCGTGATTTAAATTATATATACCCTAAGATTTTTTTATCGTCCCGCTCGTACAACGCCAACTAGCGCGTGCAAAACTTTATTCTCAACCGACCAATACAATAACCAACACGTTGCGAAATATTCGCGTGGCGCGCTAGTCCGTGCATGAATTTCACCTTGTACGATAATTCGGAAAAAAATTTCATCCTCTGGCACTGGTATTGATATGTTTTTGACTGATTTGAAGAAAGTATACTCTTCATCGCGGGTACGTGTATAATAATAATAATAATGATAATATATATGCGTATGAAAAGCCCATCGCTCGATAGGATCAAATTAGACGCCAAGAGCGACGAATTAATAACAATAATTGGTGCGAATGAAATTTTTTCCGCGCGTCATCGGCAAACAAACGTCGCGCCGCGCATCGGTATTTCATACGCGCTCGCGGCTTCGACTGTTTTATTTTTAGGCACCAAGAAATCGTTGTTGGCCATTTGCGTCCTGTGACTTTGTCCGACGCTCAATACGACTTGTGCTCGCGTCTCTCTCTCTCTCTCTATATATATACTACTTTTCTTTTATAGCTCGTTGTGTCTCTGCACCTATACAATATAATCATATCAATAGCGATAGTAATCATAATAATATTAGCCATAGTAGTGATAATAGTTACGCGCGAACGCGCTCCTTGCGCGTATAAGGTATAGGTATCTAAATTCTCACGCGCTGCATATATACACACACACACACACACACGCACACACACACGCACACACGTATTAATAATTCATCGTCAACAACAAAATAATAATGATATAGCGTAACAGTGTAATAACTGACAAGTTTTACGATTCAGTCGTTCACTCCTCCAAAGGGAAAAAAAAAAAAAAAAAAAAAAATCATAGCGTCGCTTCGCACGCGTACTTATAAACACGATTTTTATCGCCTTTCTTTCCTTTTCAACTATAATATTACGTAATATAATGCATACATATTTATATGTATATATGTATAAACTATCAACGTCAGCGATCGTTGAACTGGTACAATAATACGCGCAAATACAATTTTCGTTCAATGCACGGAATAGCATATGTAATTCTATGTCAATGTATATTGTGTCTGCGTGAGTACTTGTCGTTTCTGTGTATATGTAGCCAAAGAAGTATATATATATTATACGCATAGGTACACTGCGTAGCCGTGCCGAAGGGCCCATTTTAGTTGTTAAAACTGCTCATTCATCCATGTCCCTTTTTACGATGCATCTGATGGTTATGCGTACATCTCGATTATTCCCATGGGTTTTAACCCACTTGTCGACAGATAAAAAGCTACAACGGTACATGACAGGCACAACCTATTGACTAATAACAACAAATCGACGACCTGGTCCTTATAGAGCTGAACTATGGGTTTTTCGGGGCATAGTGACGTATCCATGAATTTTGCATCCCCTTGAGCGCACGAGCATTGCATCCGTATACATCACAAGTTCGAAACGAATGACAATAGTGTCTATATACCTACATACGTAACAATATATAAAGCGCGTGGTAAGTGTGTGTGTCGTATATTATATATATTATATGCGTAATTGTGATACGGAATTTCGAGAACGGATGAATTTAATAAACGTAGATGGTCTTGAGCTGGTCCTTGAGTTCCGGTGGTATGGCGCAGGTCTCCGACTCTGGCTTCCTGTTGACCAGGCGACGCCAGCGTCCACCCAGATTTTTGCGGAAGCCCTTGGCGAAGCCCTGCCTGTCCGTCTGCGACAGCCCGTGTACTAGCGCGTCCTGGAATTTGCAAAGAAAAAACGAATACCGTTACACATATACAAATCAATCATACGCTTAATATTTTAATGTATATACACCACCGAGATTTAATTGAGCTTTTAATGGTAATTTATTGGCAAGTATGAACCTGTATAAGCTATGACACCTGGGATGGATGTGCGTATGTGTTTATGTGTATGTGTTTGCGTGCATTCCCTGCACGATGCACAACCTACCGAGGTGCCAAAAAGTTATGTGTCCGAGGACCTCGTTAATCAAGAGCATACAAAACTATATAGTGTTGAAGTGAAGGGCGCCGTTTTCGTGGACCCCCTCACTTGCTCGTTATTTTTTCGTAAAACGCTCACAAGTAGGTATTGTATAATGTATTGTTGAAATAACATCATGTGGTTGGGTAAGTTTCGGCCCGTCGTGCTTGCGCCTGGGTTTTTTGGATTATCGTTCACGGTATGTGTATAGGTACATGTCTCATGGTGTCGCATACTTATTTCATACTGCCCAACACATTGTGCCTATACAGGTATGGACTTCGAGGGACTTTCTCTCCTCTCCTCCTTCTTTCCCCCCCCCCAAGCACACACATGTTATATCTATATTTATTATACCATGAGACGGACAGTGCAATGCACGAGGAATGGAGAAAAATCGCGTGTACCCATATACGCGATGGACGTTGTATACCGATAGATTTGACTTGGCCCCTTGAAGGAGACCTTTTGGTTCGCTATACAGGACGACGATCGATCGGCATCTTTTTCTCGGCCCCTTCTCGATTTTCGAGGCGAGCGTTTATAAAACCGAGCGGTCCATATTTGTACGCGCAAGGTAGCCGGTGACGCGTTGTTTCTTTTATTATTTTTCAAAGCTATCTTGTCTCAGCCGCGCGTCAGGAGGCGTCGCTAAATTTAAACCCCAGCACCACCACACACCACTTTGTGATTTTTGACCGGCGATTGGGATGAAATTTTATTTCGTTATGTATAATATTGTCGACAAAGTATATGTATACGTATAAATATGGACGTACACTATGATTATATAGGTATGGGTGCATACGTATATACTCCGATGGCGTTGGTTGGTGATCGATAAAACACGCGTATATACGCCGAGGGCCTGCCATCCATCTTTTTCCCACGCACTCACCCGCAGCGACGATGATATGCGTGCGCGAGTGCAGGGAAAGGGAGATACGTATATAGTCTCATTTTGGTCATTGAACCATATCACATAATATATATGATGCACGGTCACGTCGAGCCTGTTCCACCATATATACATGAACACACTTTTGAGTCTCCATCATTTACGGGGAGCCATAGCCCACTGCATATTATACTTCCCTATGCTGATGTATATATGGAACTCCATCCATTTATTCTCTCTCTCTCCCCCTAGCTCGTCTTCTCTCTCTTTTCTTTTGCCCCTCCGTCTTATCGATCGGCTTCACCGTTTACACAGTGCCGCTTGTATATATCCTATACAAGTATACATGTCTCTTTTTTTTTTCTCATCATACTTCCTACCCATACTTGTACCCTCTCTTCCTGTTTTTTTTTTCCTTCTTCATTTTCCTGTTTGGTATACAATACATGTACACACAGGTATAGATATTCGACGAACCTACACCCAATCAGCTTTTGTGTCATACGTTGCGTGATTTTACATGGTCAATCATCGCATGTAATTTATAATACAAGTACCCGTGAAATCTCATCATTGAATGATCTACTCTGTGTATATACATTATAATTATATTATACATATAATTATATACCTACGTCGAGTTGCGTGCCCGAAATTCCCGATGCTCGGCAAATTTTAGAGAGCTAATCTTTTGTGCTGTATATACCCATGTAAGTATATTATACACACGAACATCATCTCCTTCTCCCATATTCTTTCGTTTCCCAAAACACACACACACACATGCGCTCAAAGATCTACCCATACACACGTATAGAAGTACAAGTGTAAAAGTAAGAAGAAGAGGAGGAGAGAGCACAAAACGTGAATACTTATTTGTATTGTATATAATATGCACACTAGTTGCGGTAGCGCCTGTGTAAATGCAACCGGCGCGAACACTGTTGCCGAGGAAAAACCGAGAGAGATGAAAAATACCCGGCATTTTTTTCCCATTGTAAGTAGATATATAATATATGTACCATAGCTGGTAGGTGTATATAATAAATATATATGGATGGCCAATGTGTTGCGCGGGCAATGACGATGGTAGAAAATTGTTAGAAACCCTGTGTACATAGGTACGGGATGACTATATTCAATCGGAGCCAACATTGGTATACAACACACGCTTATCTGTTTAGCGCGGCCGTATTCCAATACAATTGTCGTGAGTACTTAGTGTTGGGGAACATTTTTTTTTTTTTTATGTGCCCATTTGTAAGGGCACACCTTTACACAACGTATACAACAAAATTTGCGTTCACGCCCACTATACGGATAAATGAAGAGGGTGAAGGTTTTTCCAAAGTGAAGAACCAACTCGACAACTGTACATCTTGCATGGGATACAACAATGGTCCAATATTCAAACCGAAAAAAAAAAAATCATGTTCGATGACACTATACGGTCACAACTTCTATATATATATGTTTACCGGTCGTCGTTTTATCAATATAACGCTGAACCTACATACACCTATACGTACGTAAATTTGCGAACAAGAGTTACAAAGAGGCGTTGAGTGAGTTACTTGTATGTTACGTGTGCATGGGACAACCCGGTCGTATCGGGAGTCTTGAGCGTGAGTTCATAAGGCCTGCATATAAGCCATAAGACGAGAGAGAGACTGATACGGTGATGGCGCGTGTAGGGTATAAGGTGATACGCACATATACATACATGTACAACAAACAATGTCTATATAGGTATGACACAGGAAACAAGTCGAGCTGAGCTGATTTGTCGTGGCCGCCGCTCGACGAGCGCCTATACATACGTGGATCGTCTCTCAAACTTTTTTTTTCCCCCCCGACCGACGAAAAGCCAACCTCGAGAGTGCAAGTGTGGATTATTATAAAGAAAAGGCAAAAAAAAAGAAAAACTGAGCGAAAATAATAATAATAATAATAATTCAGACATCGAGCGGTGTTTAGCCACCACGGCCAAAAGCTCGTCCGGACGAAACGAGCCGCCAGACGATAGTCGCGGAACCGATTTATAAACAGCCAAGTTAATTTTGACTTTAACGAGAATCGCCGCCGCCGCGGTCTCGTGTTTTTTTCGTAAGCGCGATAAATGGCACACTTTTGCATTTGGAGAAACGATGTTACACGTACACGCGTCGAGGACATCGACGGTTTGGAAGATCGGTAAGGAGACCAAGTGCTCCTTTTACACTCGGAGCTTTTGCCCGAGATCGTGAATTACCGCCCGTCCGCCCGCAATGCGTTGTGTAACCATTTGAAAATAGTCCGACCAGAGCCAACCGGTCTTCTTCTACGTTTGCCCCGCAAAACTCTCCATACACCTCGGTCTCACTGAATCGTTTGGTTGATCGAAAATTTCATATAGACCGCACTTGCGTAGTTTTTGAACAATTACGCCCAAACGACACCTACGCGCGACAATCAACCCGAACGAAGCGCTTTTATCGATCTGTATTACCTACATATAGGTCCACCTTCTTTTTAGGAAGACTCGATCGTATACATTTGTACGTTGGTTACTGTTGAGAACAAACGAACAAAAGTGAAAAAAAGCTCTTAAAACCCCGGGAAACGTGAACAGTATCGTTCGGATGATGGTGCTTTCATCAATAATTTATACCATACGCGTACGCACACCCGATACCAAGAGGCACAAAGTGTAACGACCAGACGGTAAGGTCTCTCTCTTTTTTTTTTTTTTTTTTTCACGCTCGCGTCCCTATACATACATATACATCATACTCGCGCGTACACACAAGCGCACAGACGTGTCACACAAAAATATCGCAGCTCGACTATTAATAGAACCGGTGATGGAGGAAAAGGGGGAGTCGCGTTATATACACGAGCGCCGCTTGCCCTCGCTATACCCGTGTAGTATATTGTACACTACCGATCTGCGTGTCTCGCTCCCGCTTTCACGTGTTGCGTATCTAGGACACGCACACACATCTATTATGTATATACACACACACACACACACACACACACATGTGAGACCTCGATAGTCGTCCTTTCGAGGATAATCATTGTTTTCACGATTGCCCCGTTGTGCGTGTACATATATACTTTTGTAAAAGCTCCGATGACCGTTTTTTTCTTTTCCTTTCTTTGTGCGATGCAATGTATATTGTATGAAAACGAGAGGGGGCTGCTTTTCGGCACACGTATCCAAATATATATGCAATGAAAGCTCATCTTCGACGGAGAGCAAGAAAATTGTACATGATATTACGTATAATTATCTAAGCCGCACGTTTCGTGAAACCAAATGTCATATACATCTTAGCCACGTATGAGCCAAATCAAGCTGCGCGTGACTCGCGCGAGAGCCGAGAAAAAGCTTGCGATCGAGCAGAGAGGAACCGAGCGCCAGGGAGCCTTTTTAGCCTCTTTTTTTTTTTTTTTTTTTTTTGTTGATACCTGGATGTAATCCATCCATTGCAGAGAGACAAAAACGGTCGTACTCACCAGCCGTTGCGGCTACTTATAGGTACACGGGAAAAATGAAAATCAAAGGAAAAAAAACAACCCACATTTATTTCGAGGTTTATATGAGGTAAAATGAAGAAAGAAGGAAGAAAAAACAAGAAAAAAAAAAAAAAAAAAAAAACCAGTGGTTTGCGATCGATCGGTGTGCCCTCGTTTTGCAAATGGAGAGCACCGTGGCCGAAACCCGGCTCGCGGCCCTTGAACCTAATGGCTTAATTGAATAAGGACTAATGTGCACCAACCATGCACATAATTATACATGCATACGTGATCTACCACCAATGGATGAGAAACGCAAGCTCTCCTCGAGTTAAAAAAAAAAAAAAGTACAACGTACACGGTTCCTACATACTTATCTCTTGTCACGAGTATCATGTATAGGTATACCCTTTCCCTTCCTTCGAGATGTTGAAGGGATGCCGAGAACATCAGTAGCCGAAGGTGTGATCATCGCAAGAAGGTGCGTATACATAAAAAATCTGTGGGCCATATATGATAAGTGGAGCGTAAAACGGTGAGACGATGTCACAACACCGGTGGCGGCCACCAACGCTGCTGATGAGGAGAGATAAGTAGGTATTTCCACACAACGAAGGGAAGAACTCGATATATATATACATACATACGTTTAGGTGGTGTATGTATTACTTGTGTAGTGAGAAAACGAGACGGTGCCAAAGAGGAATTCACACGTCGCAAGCTCGCCCGTGTCTGTTTATGTATAGCGGCTCTCTCCCTCTCTGCGTTCATAATATACGTAAGAGTCTTTGGAAAATCGCGAGATGGAGATTTTTTGCTCGGCACACCCTCTGGGAGGAGGAATGGCAATAAATTAAGCCCCGAGTTTGGTGAAAATGTACTACTAGGATTTATCAGCCGTTCCATTACCCGTTGCTCAGTTTGGGATGAAGTTTTCCCATGTGCGGTACCCGTTGCTCGAAAAGCTTCGAGATCTGATGGTGAAAACTAAAAGCGTTACCGATCATTTGAGCCGAGTTTTTTTAGACATTTGGCCGAGTACCTGGTGTCTACACCAACACACGCCGACGCGCGTCTACATGAGCAGACTTGGTGTACGTATATATAACGTGCCTGTGTATAGCATGCCGTTTATACGTATAAGTTTGGGTTATAAAATGTGCGTGACGCGCCGGCAACGTTGCCCATTGATTAAATATATGTATACTTTTTTTTTTCTTTTTTTTTTTTCTTCTCTTTTGCTCGCTTGTTCCGTTCCTTGGCGACGCTCCCGCGACCTTACACTGTTGCTGCCTCGCGGGCGCACGCGCGCACGTGTGTACACGACGAGAAATTCAAATGTCACTACAATAACAAATGAAAATTACGCGTTAACGATTTGTATATATATATATATATAATAAATTCAATCCAAACGGCGAGAGATGGAATACAGTTGGTAACCCTGACGTGTATCGGTATCGATAAATTACGATAGTTGAAATTGCGCGTCGGTGCACACCGTATATATAATATAGATATACGAGTCGATGCGGAGATAGTAATTTCCTCTCTATGGACAAACACATCACATATATCTGTATTGCATTTACACGAGTACGCTTTTTAAAAAATAAAAACTATACGAAGGCCTTGGCGTAATCGAGATGAGCTAAGCCTATTTATACAGAAGGAAAAAATAATAATAAACAACTCGTACCAAATCGAATCGAGTGTAGAGTTTTTTATTTTTTCTCTTCAACTCGATTGAAAGAAAAAAAAAAAAAAAAAATTTAACAACCAGATGCCGAAGCTGCGGTGCATACGGTTGGTTGGATCGGAAGCGAAATAATGCACATAAGTATACGCGCAACGGTAAATAAACATAAGTACATTATTTTGCGATTCGATTGGATACACACACACAAGTATCCTCCTCATCTTCTTGCGTTTTGTTGTCTGTTCCAAAGTTGCTTGTTTTCTTTGCTCATTTGCTCAACTGGTACAAAGTGTGCACATACGTGTGTGTGTATTACGCGCGTACGAGGAAAATTAATTTTTCTCGAATATTTATCGGATGGAGCTGATTTTCCGCCCCCCCCCTCGCGAAACCCATCCAAGTAGCTTTTGTGCAAGCTCGACTTTCCCCGCATGATTTTTCACACGCGCCAACGCACAACCAAGAAACGAAATGTTGGATCTAATTAATCGAATGGTATACGCGTTGTTTTGTTCCACTCCTCTGGGGAGGTTTATGCCGTAGAAAGCTCGGATTAATTGAGCCGCGACGGCGTATAAATATAGCCGAGCTTTACGAGTAAGGGACCGTCGAAGCCGAACTGGATCCACTTAATCGATCTGCCCGTGTATCGGGCCAATTTGTCGTGTACGCGGGCACTGTTAATCAAAGGAAAGCACGCGGTCTTTTTCGAGCCGACTCTGAGGATCTCCCGTTTGGTGGTTATTGTTGCCCCTTCCGCTCATGGCCTTGAATCGTCATGCGTGTGTGTATACATCTCAGGGGGGGGGGAGCGCGCACGTGTCCGTTATATTTGCACATGGTTGGATATTTCATGTGCATATTTCATGCATGTAGGTGTCACACGTGGACGAAAGAATTAATAATTTTTTTTTTTTTTTTTTTTTAATTTAACTGCACCGACGAGAGTTGCTTTTTTTTTCGTACGCCGCAAAAGTCGGTTGCGCCAACTGTTGATGTATCGTCGACGCGGGGGTAATGATAATGATTACAGGCGCTTTTACGAAACATAAGTACGTATACATGCCAAAGTACCTTTAGCGTACACGCGATGCCAACTATCGACAATTTTTTTTAGTTCCTTATTGTTTTTCGCCCCGCGCTCGAAGATTTTTTTTTGATACCATCATAGTGTCATCATTTCTGCGGTATAGGGAGAAAGTTATTTATTTATTTATGATTTTTTTTTTTTTTTTCAACAAACCACGACCAGACTATGTAGCACAGCCGCTGGATTGTCAACGAAATCGAGTTTCGTTTTTTAACAGATAAGAAAATATACGTTGCGACTGTCGCCGGGCTGTCGTTAGCCAGCCTTGGTTCCCAGTATATACCGTTCTAGATACAATTACGTGCGTTAATAACATTTTATAATACCCAAACAGTTGATGAGTAACTGTTGCTGCGACGTTTTTCGATTGCAAGCTCGCAGTGTATAGGTACTTAAGCACCGGCTATACACGCACGCTGTTAATGATTCAACGCTCTGGTATTTATACATATTTCTTTTTACGCATTTAAAAGATTAAACTTTAACTAGTATTTCTTATTTTTGGAAGTGCTCAATTAAATCTCTATTATGAATACCTATACATACGCGTCGGTTCGACAATTTATCGTGTAGTTACACCTATACCCACGTAAAAGTATATGTAAAATGCAATACGTGATACAAATGTGTATTAAAATGTGCTAAAAAAATATATCTTTTGACTTTAACGCGCAATAATATTATATACTCGAAGGTGCCAAAAACAAAAGAAAAAAAACATGCGACGACAACACGCCGAGGATGCACTGGCACTAAAAATAAGTTTTCACGTACGTAATGCATATCTAGTGTGAGGCACTCGATAAATCAATAAACAAATATATCGAAAAACGTTAATTTTGGGAGATGAAAGTACGCATCCTCGGCATGAGAAATTGCAACATAATTGTATGAATAAGTAAATAATTTATAGATTGATTGTATGAATGTAAAATGTATAAAAGTACAAACCTGATCATTGTAGAGCGTGTACTGGGGCGGGGGCGTGTTGGGCGGCGGATAGGGCGGCGGGAACTGCCAAATGAACTGCTCGGCGCTGGCCGTTGTCGTGTACACCATCGTCTGGGCGCTGTCTGCCGGGCCGCACTGTTCGGACGTGATCGTCGTCGTGCAGCCATTGTTCAGAGCAGCGATGGCATTGACGGTGGACATCGCGGCTGTTTCCAACGAAGGGGCAGGAGGTGGCGACAGATTAGAGCTGGTACAGCAGGAGTCGAGGGTCAACGTGCTGGCCACCAGGGCCCGATTGACGTGACCATTAGACTGGCGTGGCAAAGTCGCCCCGCCCTCCTGCTGCTCCGCATGGACGATGTTGTTGTTGTTGTTGTTGTTGCCACAACCGTGATGATGGTGGTGGTGGTGGTGGTGGTGATGGTGCTGGTGGTCCTCGCGCTTCCGGAGCTTGCTGCGGACAAGCCGTATGGCTATCATCGTACCGTTGCTCCCGACCATACTCTTGTACTTCAAGTACAGCCTCGTGAGCTTTTTCGCGGCGTTGGCAGGAATTTTCGAGCCGGTTTTTACGCCCAAGCAGTTCGCGACTCGGTTAAACCCGAGACGAACTCTTGCGCTACGAGTATAGTAACAATATTTTTTATTTATATAAATTATAGGACGAGCAGACGCGGAGGTTTTGAGAACCGCAGTTCGGAGTTCAAATTGACTATGGTTTTTTCTATGTCCACGCTAGCTGAGCTCCATATTATTCGAGTATATATATACAGGTGGGTAGTCTGTACGTATATTTGCAACTGTTCGGAAGCACTGATTATCATATATTGTTTGTCGTTTAGATTATTTGAAGCGTCGCTCGAACGCACCACTCGCGCACAAACTCAACGATGCGACAGCCAATAAGGCACTTTCACTTTTGCCCACAACAATCCTCAATATTGCGTTTCCCGTTTTGCACCACATACATCGCGTCGGGGTACAACGAGGAGAGCTTGGAAGTAACCCGGTCAAGCTCTTTTATGTTGTTTTTTTTTCCTCCCTCTCTTTTGGTCGCTCGATATCCTTGACAACACTGTCGACCAGGAGGGCGTACGAGCCCGTCGAGAGAGAAAACCGTATAGGGGCCAGCCACCCTTTCGACGTCACGTCGGAACGTGCGAACGACTTGTGCGCGCGTAACCAAACGCTCTTGCGAGCAATTATAATTAATATTACACAGTTTTTATCTAACGTGATTCTGTTGTAGGCAATGGTAGTACGCAGCGGAGCGAAATTCGCGACGAGGCGCCTCTCGTTGAGCAGAGAGACGACTGTTGGTTCTCTGAGCCGGTGGTGGCGCCGCGGGTCGCTCTTATAGCCGCTGCCACGGGCGCGTGCCCGGTATACGATTGGCCAAAGTACGCCAGCCAATGGCTGGCCGGCGTTGTTTCCCTGCGCGCGCATATACGTATACCACGACTCACGACAATGTGACTTATTTTTCTCTTTCTTTATTTTTCGTTTTCGCGTGTTTGTACCTACTTACTTAAAGGGGTTGTAGGTACCTGCTTTGCGTTTGGTTTGCCGTAAGTATACAGAGAGTTAACTGGGGAGGAGAACAGCGGAATTTCGTTTCAAAGGAAAGCTGCCGAGTGAGCTTTTATTTTTTCGCTTCGTTCTCTTTGGTTTTTTGTTTTTATTTTTTTATTTTTTTATTTTCATCTCTGTACGCAAAGGTGAAATATATATCCGCTGGGTTTCCCGGGAGTCCCGAAAAAAGCGTTTTGTCCAACACCCTTTTTTTTTATCCGCTCGAGCTTTCGGGGTACGACAATAAACGTGTTTACGAAATTTCCATTAATTATGTACGGTTTTAACGTGACTCGGTTGACGCTAGGCAAGAAAGTAAACATTGAGCAATCGTGTAAGTGTACAAACTCCGCCGCGTATTGGGGTTTTCGTCTCTTATCCGTGCGGTTTTGATACACCTATACTCTTGTAATAGCTTACGCGATGAGACGGGCAGCAATTTCCCGGTAACGTTTATCGATGATTTACGATTGAGCAACAAATATTTGTTACGACGTTCTGGACATAATACACGTGTATGCCTTTTTCTAAACAATTCCATATGTCGAAGAGATTCGTCTTGGCCTCGACGCGATCGGTTTATTTAATTCATCACTATATGCACGATCGTCTATTGGGGGGTATCGAGTGATGACGATTGTTCGGGGGTTTTTTGCGGGCCTCATCAAGCATCCCGCGAATTAACGATCGTTGAATATTATTGATCGGCCAATTTGTGAGCTCACGCAGCCGATTCTACTCAATTGACCCCGACGCGATGGATTTTTTTTTGCTTTCCCACTCGAGGAGGGGTTATCATGGGTGGTATTTTTGGTGGCTCGGCTGCGGCCTCGGTGTATACCTACTACTGTACTTACACGACTCTGGGAAATCTAAAATTATTCAACGGCAGATTATTTCCATCTAATAACACGAAGCCAATCGCTTCTCAAAATTCAGTCGAGCTTGCGAGCTTTTTCCAATTTTTTTTTCTTTAAAAAAAAAAAAGCTCTACACGAGTGCAGCATTCCGATGATTATTCAGCAAAGCAGGTATTTTAGGCGAAGCTTCGGTCACAAGTTTTTTTTAGAGTTTCAAGATAGTCCAATACTAAAAGAAACTTGTCAGACTTAAAGAGAGAAATGTCGGATCTTCAACATAGCCATTACAACTTTAGTTCACGATGGGGGAAAAAATTTCCATGCTGCTCGTATCAGAATCAAAGGCAATTGGCTACTATAATCGCAAAGTTCGCGTGCTAGCTTCCCGGTGTACAGAGTAATCGTTTCAATCATAGATTGTCAATGTTATACTTTTACCCTATCGCATGAATCTTTTGACATCGGTAGCCCGTGGCATGATAAGAAACACGAATCGAAAATCTCATCGTTAAAAAAAAAAAACAAAAAAAAACAAAAAAAAAAAAAAATCATCCACACGATTGTGATTCACAGCAACGCGATGTCTCGCTACACGAGTGAAAGCCTGCAATTACGTAAGTCCGCCTTGGGATAATCTCGCGGCAGACAGCCGTGAACTTGATCTTGAAAGTTTGCACATGGACAGGTCGATTTATTGCATTTGTTTGTTGATCTTTTTTTTTTTTTTTTTTTTTTTTCCTCCTAATGATGCAACGACAAAAGCTCATTTCCTGCGGCAGGCAAAGTCTAACCGACTATTGCTATATAACAGCCGCCCTCGCGTTCTATATAACAGATCACCGGTATAAATGTAGATAATCTTTCGAATCTGTTTTTATCAGCGTTACGCTAAACCGATATCCACTGTATGTGTAACATCTGTTTGCGTGCATAATTTCAATCGATCCCGATGACGATAACGTACATACGTGGACTATCCTATTTTCACGATTATACACACAAAAGTAACGATCGCTCCTAATGAAGGACGTAAGGTATATATAACGAAGCGGTGGTCAATCTATTTGTATATTATGAAAGCTCGAGCACATATGCAGCGATTTGCCAAATTTTCCCTTGATGCGTGTATAACAACGTTGCAATCACGTTATATGGCACACGGTCTATGTATATAAAGAGAGGCTCTTTTCTCTTTTACGCGAGCGAAACAAAAGCCAAGAGATGACGATACGAGAAAAAAAAAAAAATAAATAAATAAAATGGATGAAAGAAAGCACGAGCTCACGGATTTAAATCTTTGTTTATTCCCGTCCTATGTATGTGAGCAGGTATACGAAGGTACAATGTATACATATGTAAGAGTGATCATCTTATCCAATGATGAACTGCCGTAAATCGGAAACAGCGAGCCCGAGCATGTAACAGAGCCGCGTATGCGTAATTGGCCATCAATGTATATTAACGTGTACCTGATGGCCAAGACCGGAGCTTTATCGGCCAATGGATGAGGTATAAACTTTTACGCGTCACTGCATATGGGGGTACACGTACAATGTCATTCAATGTGCTCTTTGACAATGAAACAACGGGAGACCGAGACTATACTTATTTGGTACTTGCTTCGAGTAAATGCATACATTTATATCACACGCGAAACGCAAAGCTGATGCACGAAACTGCCTGGCGATTTTTACTTCATTTGCGTCCCTTTTCTTTCGATTGGCGATAAAAACTTTTTCTTTTTTTTTTTTTCTCCTGCTCTAATATAAGTACATTCATAAAAAAGAGGCAATGCACATCAGACCGCGCAGGCGGAAACACTGCTCCACGAGCCTCGACTGATGGATTATATTTGTACACGCACGCACACACATAGTGCGAATTCACGTGCCAAACTAAACGGCATATCCACGAAAATAGCCCCGAAGAAGTTGGTACTCGTATATACCTTACAGACATTTGCTGTCGGGATAGAGCCATTGTCCGGGAGTCTCGACGGCTCCTTAAAATAGTATACTTACCGCGCACCCGAGAGTCTCGCCGCGTGCACGATTATTTCGCTGTACATACGTATACGTACACAAATATACACGCGCGTTAGTGGAAAAAGCCGGGGACGGTCTTTGCCAAAAATTTGGTCGAACGTTATTGTCAATAGTATAGTTGAGCTAATGCACACGTTATTTACAATTGTGCATACGTGGACCGTGAAAGCTTTTGCTCTCGATGAAATTAAATCGAGATATCGATATTACGGTGTGCGTTGTATGGGTGAATGTAAACGGCATTTCTATTTCTGGATTTTCTTTGAACGTAATGGAAAAAGGAAGAAAGAAAAAAATGTTTCAACCACTCGAAACTATAGACGATCAAGTCGTAAAAAAGTTCTTCTAGGTCACATGATCGAGCGAGTTTGCAATCGGTACCAGGTAATTGACTGGACGATCGAATCAATCCTACTTGTAAGCGATGAGTGACGTGATTTTAAAATATATACATGTATTAATCTCGACATCGGTGGTAAAGGATATGTTAACGCGCTTGAATTGAAGACCGACAAGATCCGCGAGGGGAAACGGCTATTTGGCAAAGTTTCCGAGTTACGTTTCATGTGGTTTCCTAATTATTATCTAATCAAATGCAACTCCATGTGATTCCTAAACAAAAAGTAGTGCCTCTTGCACGATTGTATGGGTGTACAAGTTTAGTAAACGAGCCCTTGTGCGAACAATATTCTAGGGGTGGGTACCATTTTTGAGAAAAGTTGAAATTCTCTTTAGTTAATGGTTTCATAAAAACTGAATATATTATTATTTTTTTTTTTTTCAGAGAACAATTGAATCATCAATCACCAACTCAGGGTGAGGTAAAAATTTCGAAACCACGTATATTATCGATATCAGCTTCGTTGTATTTATGTGTACAACTTTTCGGGATATCGACCTTTCGTGGGTTAGTCATCTATGACAAATCATATACTCGGAAAAAAAATGTCTTTGTTTTTGTCAAGTCGTCGATTGAA